TCCGGTCCTGTAGTTGGATCAGGGGCCCCTGGGTTTCGACCTATGCAACCAAGTAGGTTTCCTGATCCATCTCTTCCACCACCGCCGACATCAAACCTCCCAGCAACTGCTGGATCTTTCCAGCGGTTCCCAACACCACAGTTTGCTCCACCAACTCAAGTACCTCCTTCACAAATTCCACCAACAGGGCAACCCCCTGCAGCTTATGGACCACCGCCTCCAGTGTCCTTTCATCAGCAGGCTCAGGTTACTTCAGTGCCTATGGGATCTCCTCCTCAAAGCTTAGGTCCTCCTCCACAAAATGTTCCACAGCCGTTGTCAGATTCATCTTTTCCGGTAGCCAGGCCTAATTTTCAGTCCTCTTTGCCTGGTTATGTCCAGAAGCAGCCTAATGCAGATTTACAATCCCAACAAATGCAACCTCCTTTTGTAAGTCACCAAGGGCAGTATATTACTCCAGCACCAGCTTCCCCTTTCCTTACTCACCAAGGAGGTTATGTTCCTCCTCCACCTGCTGCAGCCTCACAAGGTTTGCTGTCTACAGACCAAAAGCAGCATCCAGGCACTGGGCCCCCTCTTGGTTCCATCCAAGGATTATCTGAAGATTTTAACTCGCTCTCTATTGGATCTATCCCTGGATCAATTGATGCAGGGATTGATCCAAAATTGCTTCCAAGGCCCTTGAATGGTGATGAAGAGCCTAAATTGTTTCCTGAGGTGTACCCCATGAACTGTGATCAAAGATATTTACGGCTCACAACCAGTGCTATACCCAGTTCCCAGTCACTGGTATCAAGGTGGCATTTACCTCTTGGAGCAATTGTTTGTCCACTTGCCGAAGCTCCTAGCGGGGTTAGTGTCTCTGTGCTAAAAATGACAAATATTTTGATTTCTGTGCATACTATAATTACCTTATTAAATTTCTCTCATTTTCCTCTAGGAGGAAGTGCCAGTTATCAATTTTGCTTCAACTGGTGTGATCCGCTGCAGGAGGTGTCGCACTTATATAAATCCATATGCTACATTCACAGATGCTGGAAGAAAGTGGCGCTGCAACATTTGTTCTTTGTTGAATGATGGTATGAAGAATTATAGTTCTCATGGCTCCTGGACACTATAATTACTGAATTAGTAAATTTGACCTATCGCAATGTGCAGTCACGATTTGTCATTTGGAAAGCAATCAGCCATAGGCTGTAAATATTTTTCTTTTTCTTTTTCTGCTTTCTTTTTCTGCACAAATAACTTTAGTGTTACTATAGAACTTGAGTGTACCATTGCTTTCATTTTCTTTGGAAAGCGTCAACTGATTCCAACTTCACACTTATTTGTATAAACTTCTGCAAATGTTATTTAGTTTTGTTTATTGCTATTGGCCCGTTGGCTTATATTCAATTACATCGACTCCTTGTTCAGTCCCAGGAGACTATTTTGCCCATTTGGATGCCACTGGTCGGCGAATTGATTTGGATCAGCGACCAGAGCTCACTAAGGGTAGTGTGGATTTTGTTGCTCCAACAGAGTATATGGTTCGGCCACCTATGCCTCCACTATACTTTTTCCTTATCGATGTTTCTATAGCTGCAGTTAGAAGTGGGATGTTAGAGGTATACATTTCTATACAATTGTTACTATTACTATTAGTTTTATTTTCTTCATCTCCTTCTCCTCTTTGTATATTTTATCTTTAATAATTTTATTTCCATTCTAAGAAAAATGATCGTGTATGAAGTGAAAGGTAGCTTCTAGGTTGATATGGGAAAGGTTTATGGTAGTATAACTATAAATTTTAACATTTTATTTTGGTTAACCAAAATCTATATTTGCTAGATGAAGATCTTTGAAAGGGATGACCCTATGTGCTTAGACATTGAGTTGTCGTGATTATTTTGGGTGTATAAAAAAGAATCTTCTATATTATCAATGTATATTCGTCATTTCTTTTAAAAAATAATCTATGTTATGCACTGTCAATGGTCAGAGTTTCATCTTGATCTTGAAATATAATTGCATTTAAATCTCTCCTTTTCCTTCTGCTGTTTCTCTTCCCCCTCCCTTTTTCTTTTTCCCCTCTTCTTGTAACATGGTCTCCCCACATTTGGCATACTACCTTTGAACTAGTTGCTAGTATGCCTCGCCCTATTTATGCCTTGTCCACAGTTGTGACCCATTTAGTAGGGTTAGATAGCTGTCCTCTTTATGTCTTCTATCGTTGTTACTACTGCAGCTTTGGGGTGAAAGTCTGCTTGGGTATAGGTTGAACTTAGATTCTTTACAGTTGACTTCTTCAAGTTTTCCTCTTTGGGGGGTTGTCGTGAGCGGTTAGCATGAGAAGGGGATAACCTTGTAGAGTTCTCAGGGAGACTTAGACTTGGATTCTATTCTTTAACGTGGAGGTTGTGGAGATTCTTGTTGTGTGGTCAAAGACTTTATGTGATGAGGTTTCCACGGTTAACTCAATTGAAGGAAGAATTTTCACATCCATGAGAGCTTTCGATTTTTTATTGTGGATTATAGTTTCTTAGGTCTCGTTCTCCTGAATGGCAGATTCATGTGATCTTCCTTCATGACAATGCGGTAAGCTGTAAGTTAGGTTTTTGCCGTCTAAGCAATCTCTTTAAAGAATATGTTAGAACTTAGGTCATTGGGCTTGTTATCCTTAGGGGCTATGAGCTAGGTCCTTGCCTTTTTCGTGTTTGAGAATAAGTGGTTCAAAATCCTTCTTTTAAGAGTAACGTACCATTGTGTTGTGCAGCTAGGAAGGTTATAGGTTTATGAAGAAGCTCAAAGTCCTTGAGGAATTTGTCAAGGAGTGGAATTATTTTGTCTATGAGGGTCATCGCTTGAAGAAGTAGGAAACAGTTGGATAACTTTGAAGAAAGTGGGGCCTTTAGTTTTGATCTCAAGTAGGAGAGGGCTTAAGATTAAAAGCAACTTGGAGAAAGCCTTTTTCTCTAAGGTTGGGAGGTGAACTTTAATTCAGCCAGCCCGTGGTGGGACTCCTTTATACTTTCTTTCTTCGTTCAAAGTTCCTTATTTTTTGTGGTCGGTGGTCCACTCTAGAAAGACTTATGAGACAATTTTTGTGGGAAGGTGTGGAGGAGGGTGAGAGATCACACTTGGTGAGTTGGGATGTTGTGTCTAAGGAGCTTAGTGATGGTGGGCTAGGTATAGGGAATCTTGCAAATAGAAACCTAGCTCTCCTAACTGAGTGGTTATGATGATTTTTAAGCCTGATTTTTTTGTAGTTCAAGATCATCATGAGAAAATTTGGCTTTCAAGTGGCAAATGGTGCATCAAGAATGTGGTTTCTGAAGCCATATTAAGGAGTCCTTGGAAAGCCATTTCCTTTTGCCTCATACTAGAAACTAAAGGAGCCGGTTGACCTTGGCTCATTCAGTGCTTAATAGTGTCCCTATTTATTATTTATCTCTACTTAAAGCTCTAGTGGGAGTCACAAAGGATATAGAAAAGTTGGTGAGGGTTTTTGCCCCCTTCTTGGATGAGGTAGCTCTTACTTGTGAGAAACCTTGTTAACTAGGGGTGTACATCCCTCCCGTTGAAGATGGGAGGCCTAGGGATTGGTGCTTTCAACAAAGGAATAATGCTCTCCTTCTTAAATCACCTTGGCAGTTTACCCAAGAAGAAGGAGCCCAATGAGGAAAGTGATTGCTATCATCTACGGTTTGGAGCTTCACAGATGGCTGACTAGAAAACCCATAGGCAAAGCAAGAAGCAGTCCCTAGTGTGACATCACCAAGAATTGCTCCTTCTTCCTAAAGTTCTTGGCTGTTAAGATTAACCACGATCAGAGGATAAAATTTTGTAATGATAGATGGTTAGGGGATCAATCCCTAGCCAATTCTTCCCCGATTTGTATATTTTATCTATGAAGAAGAATGCTACTATTGCTGATGGTTGGAAAGCTGACCAATATGACTGGGATCTGAGCTTTAGAAGAGGCCTTTTTGATTGAGAGCTTGGTAGCTGGTTGGGTTTGGTGAATAGACGAGATGGAGTTAGGCTAGGGGAGGATGTGGATGAAGTTTCTCGGCCTTTAGAACCTTTGAGTGTGTTTTCTTCCAAATCAGCATTTTAAAGCTCATTGAGGTCAAGGTCATGCCAAAGTTGAAATATCCCTTGATTAACCCTATTTGGAAGTACAATATTCTAAGACAGGTGAGGGTGTTTTTTGGTCTCTAGCTTATAGATCCTTGAACCCTCAAGACAAGTTGCAAAGAAAGTGTATTAAGTGGGCTATATCCCCATTTGTTTGTTTCCATGCGTTCAGAGGAAGAATTGTTAGATCACGTTTTCATTCATTGCTCCTTTGCTACAAAGGGGTAGGCATCTTTGTTTCAGATCTTTAGACTCTCTGGATGTATGCCAAGGTACATAGATGATTGGTTGTTATAAGTGTTGAGTGGATGGCAGAGGAAAAGGTAAGGTTCTTTTGACCTTACCTTCCCCTAGATTTTCATTTTGATTTTAGGAAACTTCTTTTAAAAACTGAGTTCCATGACTTTTTAACAATTCTTTTGTTGCTATAAGGAGTTTGGTTTTCTCCAAATGCTAGTGATGCTCATTCTTGGACTCTTGAGCCTTTAGACACCTTTTCGAGCAAGTCTCTTTTTGCCCAAGTGTGCTCTCGTCCCATTCCTCCTCCTTCCTCTCTCACCTTGCTTTAGAGGGCTAAAGTCTGGAAGAAGTTTAGAATGTTTGCTTGGTTGGTTATCTTTCAGAGGGTAAACACGAACTTTGTCAAAAGATCGTCTTCCATGGTTCTGGGCCTCCACTCTAATGGTCTGTGCTGGGAAAGCAACGGAGAATGTGATCATGTGATATGGAGGATTCACATGCTGTGGAACTTCGGAATATTTTCTTGACTACATTTCATATCAGTTTGGCATCTTCCAGAGGGTGTAGGGATATGGTGGAGAAGATGCTTATTAACCCTCATTTTTGTAATAGGAGCCCGGTTCCTTGGTAGGCAACTTTCTTTGGTACACCTAAAGATATTCAGAAGCCTGGGAGGAGGTTTGAGGGGCAACTCATTTTACTGCCTTGCTTTGGGTGTTCTCATCAAGAGTTTCTTTCATAATTTTTCTTCATTTTTTATTCGCCACATTGGAGCAGTTTCCCGTAATTTTTTTTTAAAAATTTTCTGCTCCTCGTCGGGTGTACTTACATAAAAAAACCTCATCAAGGTCTCGCGTACGAAATTGTTGCTAATGCTTATCAAGCTATTTCCAAACTATGAGCTCATAATTTTTAGTTTTGTTAACTTTTTATTTCCTTTTGCAGGTTGTGGCACAAACAATTAGGTCATGCTTGGATGAGCTACCTGGTTTTCCAAGAACACAAATAGGTTTTGCAACTTTTGACAGCACAATACATTTTTATAATATGAAGGTGGAGAATATATGTTCACATTGTCTAATATTACCCTAATTTAATACTTCCATGCTAAAAGTTCCCTGTTTCTTTCACAGTCGACTTTGACTCAGCCTCAAATGATGGTGGTTTCAGATCTGGATGACGTATTTGTACCTTTGCCAGATGATCTCCTTGTCAACTTATCTGAATCAAGAGCTGTGGTGGAATCATTTCTAGATAGCTTGCCGTCCATGTTCCAGGACAATGTGAATGTTGAATCTGCTTTTGGCCCAGCCCTTAAAGCAGCGTTTATGGTTATGGTGCGTTATTATCATCTTTTAAATCAGTCACCACTATCATATTTTTATTTTTATTACTTTTTTATGAACATTGTAATTTCCCGGTGTCAATGAATTAAAATATAAACATGTAGGTAACATTGTAAATTCATCCATACTCAAATTGATCTATCCTAAAGAGCTTTGCATAACCAATGGTTCATGTTTTCATTCCACCCTCTTTGCAGAGCCAATTGGGGGGGAAGTTGTTAATTTTTCAAAACACACTGCCATCTCTTGGTGTTGGCCGCTTGAAGTTGCGTGGGGATGATCTTCGTGTTTATGGAACAGACAAAGAACATTTACTAAGACTGCCAGAGGATCCATTCTACAAACAGATGGCTGCTGAATTTACCAAGTTCCAAATTGGGGTCAATGTCTATGCATTTAGTGACAAGTATACAGATATTGCATCCTTGGGTAAGCCTTAGTTGTTTCATATCTGGAGGATGTATTTGTGGTGACATGATTGAATTTGATTCTTAAGAACTGACTTGGGCTTGCTATTATTGTTGGTGCCTTTTTTTAATCCCTTCAACATGCTATGAACGTTAAATTTATTTTTTGGGTTCCCAATATCTTTTCTTCTTTGATCTAGCTTTTAAGATTATTGTGATTGCTTGTCTTCTTTTGAGAGCATCTGATTATCTTTTGGAACTTTTTATATAGCCATGTTTTTCCTGTGAACAGTATGGCCTAATGGTTATATGTTTTTTAAGTAAATATTTTTTGCACAATAATTCTGGTGATTTAAATTTGCTACTTCAATCAGCTTCTTGGGGAAACTGAAATTGTACATCTACTATTTATGTTTACCATCTTCAGTCTTAGACTCTTAGGCTACAACTTATTGTTTGTCATTTTCTCCAATTTTTTTGGTGATAAATTTACTAATTATTGATACAGCTCTGGTGGCTCTAATGATGACAATCCACATAGTTCCCATCTTTAGCTTTTCCATTTGAGACTAACATCAAAATATTACATTACGTTAGCAAATATGGTGTCTGGTGCACTGGCCAATTCGTTTTAATTTCTCTCTTTTATTCAGGGACTTTGGCAAAGTATACAGGAGGTCAGGTGTATTATTATCCAGGCTTCCAATCTTCCATTCATGGAGAAAAATTGAGACATGAGTTAGCAAGGGACTTGACTAGAGAAACTGCCTGGGAAGCTGTAATGCGTATAAGATGTGGAAAAGGTGACCTTTTTCTTTTAAACTGGTTCTCATGGAATGTTCTTCTTCTTCTTCACTCACATAAACAACACTTTTGGCTCATTATTTTGTTTGTTCTCCCAGGGATCCGTTTTACATCTTTTCACGGAAATTTTATGTTAAGAAGCACCGATTTATTGGCACTTCCAGCTGTAGATTGTGATAAAGCATTTGCAATGCAAATCTCTTATGAGGAAACCTTACTAACAACTCAGACAGTGTACTTCCAAGTTGCTTTGCTGTATCCTTTGAGTGTAAAATATTTGGGATGACCCCATCTACCAATTCCCCTAATAGTAGTAGTCCTTAATTGCTATCAGCTGTTCTGAAGTAAGTTTATCCACATGATGAGTTTGTTGGTTCATAAATTTTCTGAATCAGATGACCATTATTTTCTCTTAAAATTTATACATTTAATCATGGAGTTTGATAATGGTAGCCCAGGTTTGCATTTAAGAATGAATATCAGCTAGATTTTCAGAGGTTTTATCTCTAGTTTTGCATATAAGAATCTTTCTCTTGATCTTTAGAGTATTTTATTTTTTCATCTTAATCAGATTTCTTTCTTTTTATTAATGCTTTGTCATAGTTTATGAATGTTGATTATTCAATTTGTAGGACACTCTAGGGTTTTTCTAACGAGTAACTTTTTCTCAGTTATACAAATGAATTCATATGTTATGCTTTCGAAAAATTTTCACCTTAAATAATAGCAAATTTAGGATTGGTAACAATTAGTTACCATTTGATCTTTAACTGATCCATTAGCCACATGAATATTTTGAGTGCAAGAAACTGTTGTTTTCACATGAGGTTGCTTGTTTCCTTTGTAATGTGGGCTTTACCTGGCAGATGTATTTCTTTGGTCTTGGTTCAAATTCAATGATGTTTCAGAAGTTGGTGTCTAGGGTAAGGCTTGTGAAGTGAAAATGCATTTCTTTTCTTTGACAATAAAAAGATATACTGCATCTTGTGGAGAGAGACGTATTAGAGTGCATACAGCAGCAGCACCTGTAGTTACGGATTTGGGAGAGATGTATCGCCAGGCTGATGTTGGTGCCGTTATTTCCTTGTTTAGTAGGCTAGGTATGTTAAGCACAAACTTCTATGCTTGGTGATGTTAGATTTTGAAAACCTCAGTTATTAAGATTTACCCTCTGACCACTTTATGAATCTCTCTAAATTCTAACTGAAACAAATTGCAGCAATTGAGAAAACACTCTCACATAAGCTGGATGATGCTCGCACTTCAGTACAACAAAGAATTGTAAAGGCCTTGAGGGAATATCGTAATCTCTATGCTGTACAACATCGCTTGGGGGGCAGAATGATATATCCGGAGTCTCTTAGGTTTTTGCCTTTATATGGATTAGCATTGTGCAAATCCGTACCTCTTCGAGGGGGTTACGCCGACGCTATACTTGATGAACGGTGTGCATTAGGCCTCACAATGATGATTCTGCCTGTTAAAAACCTATTGAAGCTTTTATATCCCTCATTAATTCGACTCGATGAGTATCTATTGAAGGTGGTGAATCTTCTCCTTCGGTCCTATATTCTTACTCAATGAATTTGCAGAATCTTTGAAATTCATTCTGCTTTAATGTACAGGCATCTCCCAGTCAGACAGTTGACTTTGATAGCATAGAGAAAAGATTACCGCTGACTGGTGATAGCTTAGATTCCAGAGGCCTGTACTTATATGACGACGGCTTTCGCTTCATTGTTTGGTTTGGTAGAGTGCTTTCACCTGATGTGTCCATGAATTTACTTGGGGCAGACTTTGCAGCAGAGCTATCAAAGGTATATAGTTGTTTTAAAATTCAAATAAAAGAGTTCCACAGTTGAATAAGAGAGAGTAATAGGAGGAGAACAAGTTGGCCTAGGAGAACTCGTTTTTCCTTTTCTGCATTCACTTTCCGGAACTACTTGAAAAAGAATAATTGCTTGCACTAGACATTATACATTCTTCTTTTTGGCCTGAATTTAATCCCTAATTCCAATGATTTAGGTGCTACTTAGGTATGTTATATGTAATTGTTTTTTCTTTATAATCTTTTATAATATCACATTTAAAACAGAATTTCTTATATATTCCCGTGCAATTATTCCTGTTGTTCATGGTCTGTGTTTTTTGTTTTGTTTTGAAATTTTCAAAGTTTTTCCCAAGTTAAGGGCTGTTATAACTTATAAGTTGGCGAAGTGGCGAGGCAGGAACAAGGAGAGGAGAACTTGATCCACATTCTCATCAAATTTCTTGATTTTGGAGAATTGGAACAAATTTGAGGAGTTAGGACCCGTCGAATGGGGATTTGCAATGAAAATTTTGTGATTGTTCTTAATATAATTATTTTATAAATAAAAAACTTAATTATTTAAAAAATATATGAAAGTATGAATTTTAGGCGAGAAGCAGGAAAAATATTAAAATTGTAGTATTTATGATTTTAAATAACCATTTTATAAAAAACATTTAATACGTTATAGTAATATATAAATAAAAAGGTTATTAACCAATAGTAATTCAGGTTGAGATTGGGGCAGGGAATGTCTGAACTGGTGAACCATAATTCCCAGTGGGTTTATAATATTTGTCCTCGATTCTGGCCCTATGCCCGGTCAAAATTTGACTTGCAGGGATGTGCTCCTGCACGTTGGCATCCCTGCATCTAATAACTATTGAATAAATAACCAATTTGAGAAATTCACCATCCCAACATTTTTTGTGTACTAAAGAACGAAAGCTTCAATGAGATTTTGGTTTTAAAGATGAAGAATAGTTTTTATTCACTGTTCAAAAGCATCTTAATACCTTTATCAAAATCGCTTTTATGTTAGACTTCAACTAGAATGTCACTTGGAATATCATTCAAGGACCGAAATACTGTGTTCTTTCTTGGAAAGACTATAGAGGTCATGACAACGGTTCAAGAAATCTTGCTGCTCCATATCCGAGGCACATGATCCTGAGGTTTGAGCATCTGTGTGTTTTTCCGGATGTAGGAAGATTTCTCGCATTTTGCTCTCTCTCTCTCTAAAATGTTAACCGTATCTCTTTATTTCAGTCCACATAGTCCCTTGGTTGATTGCTTATTTAATGTATGGTTGAACTGAGATTATTTATACCCCTGCTATTCTCAGTTAACTAACTTAATTTAACTCTTCCTTGGTGTTATTAATGGTTTTCATTTTTGATAATCCAGGTCATCCTTAGTGATCATGATAATGCAATGTCAAGAAAGCTATTAGAGATGCTTAAGAAATTTAGAGAAAGGGACCCATCATACTATCAGCTATCTCATCTTGTTAGACAAGGTGAACAACCTAGAGAAGGCTTCCTCCTCCTTGCAAATCTTGTTGAGGACCAAGTGGGTGGTACAAATGGTTATGTTGATTGGCTTCTACAAATACACCGTCTAGTACAGCAGAATGCTTAATACAAGGTGAGGAATGTCTTGGGCCTTCTTGGAGTTGGGTTTAAAATCTGTTTCATTTAGCAAAAGATGTATTTTTCAAAGCTCATTTTTCGTTGCTTTAATCTTGGTGTATGAAATTTTCCACAAACTGGTATGCAGCGGACTAGCGTGTTTACCTAATTGGTTGTGGTTTGTTGTTCTAAATGGCAATAGCTGGTTGAAAAAACGGGTTGATTATTAAGTCTTAAAAAAGTGTTGACAAGTAGTATATATAATCAATTCATAGAGAAAAGTTCTATTTTTTATTTTTTTTGGGAGGGGAGATGGATTAGGAACTATTTCCGTTTCAAATGAAAAACCTATTGTGTTACTATAAAAGAAACTTTCCAGTTGGGAACAAGGAAGAGGAAAAATAATGAAAACGTGGTCGGAGGAACGAAGAAGTACTCCAATGGGACGCAACTTTTTCCCTTCCTTTTTCTTTTAGCCAAGTGGAATAATGTTTTATTAATAGAATAGAAAATGTGGTGGGGGAGGAAACGGAGTGCAGCCTAAAGACCCAAACAAGGAGTTGCAAAAAACCTCTCCAGTTGGCCATAAGATATTACAAAAGTTACTAGAGAGAAGAATTCCATAAGGAGGAAATAAAACAACCGTGCCCCAAATCTCCTGCCATTCTCCAAACAAATCTTGAAATATTTCTCTATTCTGTTCAACTCAACCTCCAAACAAATCTCCTGCGAGAAGCATGCCAAGGGCTGTTTTCACACTGCCAGGAAAAGCTCCTTGATAATTGAAGTTCTAAAAAGTTCGTAGAACTCAAGTGGCAAGGGCCAGTCCAAAAAAATGTGGTTTGCTGACTCTCAGTTTCTGGTCACACAACACATCAATTGGGAGAAAGAAAGTTCCCCAAATTTTGGTCTCAAATAAGGTATATATTGATAAAGGTATTCAAAGATTGATACATTGAAAAAGGCTGCCTCCCCCCTTTTTGATTAAGGTATTTTTTTTGGATAATTGAGAGTCGGAGCTTAGCTCCTCTATACCTTGGGCACCCATGCCTGCCTCCAAGGCTCGGACTCGACAGCAATCATGAATTTTTAGTACTAAGCTCACCCGAAGGTTCTAAGTTGAGACCTCTAAGTCGATATGACTAAGAGATCCCAAGCCTTACCAATGGAACAGTCCCTTGGGGGCTTTTTTGATTAAGGTATTCAAAGAGTGATTTAACTATGAAAGGCCCCTGAAGCATCGAATTACCATTGTTTCATGTCCTTGTCAAAGGATAGCTGAGAATGGTCAGTTCTTTGAATCCAACTTAGGCACTCCTCCGTCCCCTCTTAGATGGAGAACTATATTGAAACTGAGATTCCAGCATAACACCCTCATAATTCCACGATAAATAGAACTACTTTTCTTTTGCTACCAGCAAGTTTATAAAACCTAGTGGGTTCCACTGCGGAGGAGGCATGCCCACACTGGTTATCTTCTTAAAATTCTACCCTGAAATCCTTCCTATTATTTTAAGTGAACTGCAAATTAAGTGATCTTTCAATTTAGCTGTGAAGAACCGAGGGTATTCAGAGCTAGCATGTGAGCATTACTTGCAAGCAACCAGACTCGTAAATCTCATATTTACTACTGACTTGCCTGATGTCATCAGAAAGTAGGTTCATTGAGAAATCTCAAAGTCGGCAGTTAGCAGCATTAACAATTAAAACCTACACGGCTACACCTTTCCCATGGTCTTTCAGAGTCCTAAAAAATCTCATTTTCCTTCCTAGTCAAGTTTCTCAAGGAACTGCTCTGATAGCACTGAGCCACAACCACAAATGTATGATCGGTTGAAATAAATGTATGGTCCAACTATGGTTGACCATTTCGTCTCAACTATCAGATAAACTTATTTGCTATCTTAAGCCTGAATAAGGATGAATGCTTTCCATTGTATTTTTGTTTTTTGTATACTGTTCGGTGGAAATTCTCGTATTCTGTATGTACATGTTCCTGCGGCTCGGATGAGTATTCTTGTTTATATCGCTACGGCTATAAACACTTTCTTGTTCCTATTAACAAAACGTCCCCTTCTTCTTCACTCTTCCGAAACCGACTGTTCGGTGGAAATTCTCGTATTCTGTATGTACATGTTCCTGCGGCTCGGATGAGTATTCTTGTTTATATCGCTACGGCTATAAACACTTTCTTGTTCCTATTAACAAAACATCCCCTTTTTCTTCACTCTTCCGAAACCGGTACAGAAATGGGTGCTTTTTTTACGTTGTTTACTTTAGTGACTTGGGGGGTTTCGGGGAAGACCTATGTGGGGCACCTTTTGGGTGTGGGATGCTCGTTTAACCTCTTTCACGTGTTTCTATTTATGGTTCCTATGGAGCTACATTGCAACAAATCTTCTTTTTCTGCAGCATTGCTTCTATGATCTTAGGAGCACTGGCCGCCATGGCCCAAACGAAAGTCAAAAGACCTCTAGCTCATAGTTCAATTGGACGTGTAGGTTATATTCGTACTGGTTTCTCATGTGGAACCATAGAAGGAATTCAATCACTACTAATTGATATCTTTATTTATGTATTAATGACGATAGATGCATTCGCCATATAGCATTACGGCAAACCCGTGTAAAATGTGTTTTCGTTTTTGTTTGTGAAAGAAAAGGAGAATTGTTGACATCAATGGTAAATGTTAAGAGTTACAAAATGAGCTTTAGGCAACTTAACCCTTCCTTGGCCTGGTGAAGGCAAATGCTTGTTATGCTCTTTAAAGAATCGATGTTACGAACAGGGTTGTATGTTGTTTTAGGCCTTGGTGACTAAGACTTTTGGATGTGACTAGCTCCATTTTCTGTTCAATATAAGAGATTCATATTTATCAAAATCTCAGCATGCTAAACTATAACTGATTTTCATTAATGAGCGAAGTGTGAAGATCATGAAGTTTGTGTATTAGGAAGATAATGATGAAGCTGTTTTACAACAATCTTCTTGCTCGAGGACAAATATGTAATCATTGTTACGTCGTCACCAATGAAAGCAGTTTGGCATTTTCTTTTCAAAACTTGGTTTCACTTTCTAATGCAGTGTTTCAATTCAGCAGGATAAAATTTGGAACAAGAAGTGAAACAATGGAAGATTTTTCTGGATGCCATGAGAGGGATTCGGCTTCAACAAATGGCTTCTGGAATCAAAGCGGAATTGGCTACTTCATAAATTTGTTACCAGATAGATTTTTTTTTTTTTTTCCTTTTAACAATAATTTTCCCCCCCTTCTTATTGAGAGGTTGTCACCATAATAGGGATATCCACATCAGATGCTATTTTATTTTTCTTAATATATTATGTTGTCTATATACCATCCCTAGATTTGGGTAGAATTGTTGCAATAACTTTGGCCATCTATTTGGATTTTGTTTGGTTATGCAACTTGAATTTTTTGGGTCTGATTCTTCTTCAGGTGACTGTTGGATGGAAGTGCTGTAATTTTGACCAACTGGAACTAGTTATTAATATTCATATTTATTCAGCCACATTTTGATCTCCTTGGGAGTTGGTCACAACCTAATCTTCACATGGCTTTATATTTCTTCTTTGGTTTCTTGCAAATGATGGCCTGCTGGCATTCCTGCTCTGCTTTACCTTCTATTTCTAGATTCTTTTGTTGCTGTCTTTTCAATTTTCCATTTTTAGGCCCCAACCTCCCATGCCCTCCTTTTCAATGGCCCTTTTGGCTATCCCTAAAGGATGGCTGTTTTTGTAATTTCAGAATATATTCGTGTTTTCGTGAGCCAATTCGATCATATAACTCAATGGTTAAACAAACTTATTACTATTCTAAAGGTTGATGGTTTGATTCTTTAACAAATAAAAAAAAGACGTCTATCTTTTGCAATGTCTTTTGTATGACTAAATCGGTTTCAAGCACCCAATATTTAAATTACAATTATGTCCTTGCATCTAAGATCATAGGAAAAGGAAGCACAAAAAAGGGGAAGAAAATTGGGTAAACTAATTGAAGTGTAATAAATCAAGAAGGTCATGCAATGAAGAATGTGGTTTTGTTTATGGAAAAATGAGGTGCCCACAGAAAGAAGCAGAGGGTGGCTCTGGTTCTCCATCACCTTAAAATTCCTCAAAAGATAAAGAGAGAGAGAAAGAGAGAAAGTAAAGTAAAGGAAGTTTGAATGGTCAAAAGAGAAAAGCCAAGCTGGAGTTCTTACACAGATTTTCATCTTAATTAATTTCTGAAGTTTGTTTAAATTGTTTTCTAATAAAGAAATCTTTCTTAGGACAACAACAACTATTTGTATTGTATTCTGATGGGCTCTCTTCTTTGACTGTCACCAGCGCATTGTAGCGTACCACACAATAAAGTAAAAAACTCTCTCTTTCTCTCTCTCTCCCAACACAAAATCCGAAAGCGGAAACCCAGTTCTTCACTTACGCAGCGCAGGCAGGCTACAAACTTTCTCGCGGATCTGACCCTTTGATTCTCACCCACGACGTGGCCTCACAGTTTTCTCCTTGATGTCTCAAAATTTTAGATTCGATCGGTAATGGGTTTCTTCTTCTGATTCCGTTTCTTTATTCTATTTTTAATTTTTCTTGTTTTTTCTTTCAATGGGTGTTCTTTATCTGGATCGTGGCGCTCTTGGGTAGGATCATTTTGGGGTCATTTATCTGGATCACCCAGTTGTTGATGTCTTCTTTTTCCTCTGCTTTTTTGTTCGTTTCTGGTCCGACGATTTCGGAAGATTCTGAGGGGATTGGTGGGTTAATTATTGAATATTTTGTGTTGTATTTACCTTTGTATGAGCTGGAGACTTCAGTTTTAAGTTCTATTTTTCTAAATGTTCTGGTTTTTGTCTCGGACGACTGTATATGTTGACATATATCCTTGTTGGAGCTCAGATCACCTTCAGTTTCTTTGCGAGGATTTCTTGAGAAGGTTCTTTTACCATTGAGTGATGTTCTGTGTAGAAAAATGGTTTGAGCCGTAACTATATAGAGGCCAGAGAATGATTGATATGAACACCTTTTGGGTTATTGATTTCATTGTCTGCAAAATGGTCAATGGACAAAAAAAGCAGAAATAATTTTATGATTTCTGTGGGCTTTCTAGTGGAATCATGTGCCCCAGTTAGCGTAGTGTTTTTTTTTTTTCTGGATTCTAGGAGGCCAAGAACTTCCAGGAAGTGCAGTGAGAATAATTAAGTTTAAATTGTCGTGAAGCAAGAACTATTCTTCCAAGACAGTGACCCAGGGTGAAATAGTTGGTACAGGTCATATTAATATTTTGTTTTAATATTTTACGGAAATTATGAAGAAAGGATTAAGTAATGTGGTAGGTGTTATTGGAATAGAACATGTATGATTAAGTGCGTTGATTTCATTTGATATCAACAGGTGAGTGGTTAGTTTTATCAAGATCATTCATTAGAGATATCTTGTGACGATTTCAAGAAATGGCTTCTATGGGTGTTGTGCCTACTTCAAGTTTAAGAGAACCTGCTGGTCATAGTGTTGGTGTTGATAGGTTGCCTGAAGAGATGAATGACATGAAAATTAGGGACGACAAGGTACAATGCATCTTTTAATGCACTTGAATTTCATTTCCAATCCTTATCATTTATATGAATTAATTTTAATCTTTGTTCTTGTCCATCTTCATGAGTTCTCATGAGTTGAAACAATTGTATAGGAGGTGGAAGCAACTGTTGTAGATGGAAATGGGACAGAGACAGGCCATATAATTGTGACGACAATTGGTGGTAGAAATGGCTATCCAAAGCAGGCATGAATTTCATGATATTCAGTTCATCCTTTTCTCACATTCTTTTTATTAGTGTGTGCACACTTGTATGAGTGGCTGACAGAAATTTTATAGTGTGAAAGTTATGTGTTGATCATTCCTCTTTGCTTCTAACTGTTGATTCATTACGAATTCTGTGCTTTTGTCATGAATTTGAAATATAAATCATTATGTAGTTGGCTTGGGTGTCTTACATATATTTTTTATTTCTCATTTATTGCGCCTCTAATAGTATTTGGTATTAGTAATGCAGACAATCAGCTACATGGCAGAGCGTGCTGTTGGGCATGGATCATTTGGAGTTGTGTTTCAAGTAATATTTACTAATCCTTTTTATCATATATTACTGATGGCAACTTTTTACTGCTTCAGTATTTTTTTTTTCCCAGATATTGGGGTTGTTGTGTACTTTTCTATATGCCTTTTTCATCTTATGTATCTTGTTTAGGCAAAGTGCTTAGAAACTGGGGAAACTGTGGCTATAAAGAAGGTTCTTCAGGACAAAAGGTACAAGAACCGTGAGCTGCAAACTATGCGGCTTCTTGACCATCCAAATGTTGTTGCATTAAAGCATTGCTTCTTCTCAACCACCGAGAAGGATGAACTGTATCTCAACCTTGTCCTTGAGTATGTCCCAGAAACAGTTCACAGGGTGATAAAGCACTACAACAAATTAAACCAAAGGATGCCGCTGATCTATGTAAAACTTTACATGTACCAGGTATTGTTATCAAGAATATCTATTATAGGAATTTAATATTAGCCACTTGGTTAATGATACTTATGGACTACTTCAGGCTGGATAATGAATGATGATGGTGTTACTCGTTAGAGATGTACGTTAGTTAAGTTTTGTTTGGGGTTTTTTTTACCAAATTGTAAAAAGAGGTTAGTTTGACTCATTGGAGAAAAAAACTGAACAAACCAATTGGTTCTGTTTTGTTTGGTTTGGTTTTCTGTGTATATATAATTTTCCATCAATCATTCTATTTCTATCAAATTTTACTGACACACAGGGTATATGAAAAAGTTGAGTTCAAATTACAAATCAATTTTAGGTAATCAATCTTTCCGTAAAAGATTGAACGTTTAAAGTTGAAAGTCGCTTGAATTAATAAGTCTTTACTTAATCACTTATTTATTTATTCATAAGAAACTAACTGATTTTTTTAAAGAAAGGAAGACAAATAATAGCCTAAGGGCTGAGGGTAAGGGGCACCCCTCTTGAGCAACTACTTCATGAGAATCTCTTCAGAAGGCCATAACTACAAAAGAATTTCCTGTGGTTTGAAATCCACTGAAAAGTAAAGGACTTTACACTATTAAAAAAATATTCAAAAGAAGAAAACTTATTTAGAACACTTGGCTCTATATATATATATATATATATTATTATGGTTTCAATGGAACTAAACTTGATAAAAAAGAAACCAACCAAGCGATTTTAGTTGAATTTGGTTTTGGTTTGGACCATCACTTTGTTTGGTTTGTGCATTTTTACTAATTTAAATTCCTTATGTTTCAGAAAATAATAGTGGACAATTCATGATTGATTGGCTAAAGTTTTATTTCTCACTCTATATGTTATTCTTGCAGATCTTTAGAGCATTGTCATATATTCATCGTTGTATCGGAGTGTGTCATCGGGACATCAAACCTCAAAATCTTTTGGTAAGATGAAAAAAGAAAGAATTCTGGGCCTCATTGTTTTGCTCCTAATGCCTATTTATAATTGTTTTTTTCAATCTATCAATTTATGCAGGTGAACCCGCATACTCACCAGGTTAAACTATGTGATTTTGGGAGTGCAAAAGTCTTGGTATGTCCTTTCTTTCTAACTTTTTTCTTGAAATATATATATATATTTCTTTTTTTAACAAGAAACAAACTTTTCATTGATAATATATATTAAACGGAAGAAAATATTCAAGGATAAAAACTCCCAACGGGAGCGAAAAAAAAAAAAACCAAACAAAGGACAAAGCTCCAAACATTACAAGAGAAAAGAAACGTTGAGGGACAAAATGACGAGCTGAAAACCAAAGCTACTTCTTCAATCTGTGAAAGTGACACCAATAGACTGCGCGAGAAAACAGCAAAGCTTCCAAACCAGAAAAATCTTCAAAAGACTATGAATAGAACAAGAAGATGAGTCCTTTAAACTTCGAAGGATATAGCCAACCAATGAATCCCTTTCTTAAAATCTTCACATTCTTCTTGATGTAGCGAAAAACTAAGAGCCAATAAAGACAAGGAATTAAAAACATGCTGCTGAAAAAATCCTTCAAAATCTTATTGATGCTGCTGAAAACCGAGGGCCAACAAAGACAAAAAAATAAATAACCTTGGGCCCCAAAAGCCATGATGAAATAAATAACTTTTTCTTGAAATAAAGGTTCAGTTGTGGGGGACTGTTGTCTGATTAACCAGATATTGTTAACTTCTTTGTGGTGTACAGGTAAAAGGGGAGCCAAATATATCCTACATCTGTTCTAGATACTACAGAGCTCCTGAGCTTATCTTTGGAGCAACAGAATATACTACTGCAATTGATATATGGTCTGCAGGTTGTGTTCTTGCAGAGCTATTGCTTGGTCAGGTAGTTGGTTGTGTATGTTTTCTCTTTTGAATGTTTTCTAGCATGAGTTATTATGGAAACTTAATAGCATTTATTTTTTTGTTTGTATCAGCCTCTTTTTCCTGGGGAAAGTGGAGTTGACCAGCTTGTTGAAATCATTAAGGTAATTTTGACATTTCAAATTTTGAGTAGATATGGGAATTCAGGCACCTAGCCCTTCAGAATATGTTACAGTGTTAAGGAGTTTTTTCTACATGATTTAGTCTAGGGAATCTAAAGACTCGTCAAGATTTTGATGATCAAGTATTTTTAACGAGAAACAAACTTTTCATTCCAATGACCAAGTATTATAAAGTAAATTCACTGTTTTATGTTTTGAATGTTTGAAGTTTATCTCTTGAACCAATTGATTTGTATTGGTTGGTTAAATCTTGGTATTTTCTTATATGGTGTGAAATTGCTCCTTTTATATTGCGAGCCTGAAGATGTTTATCATTTTCCTTCTACAGTTTTTACTTTATTGGATATTATGAACTTTTTGCATGTAATGGGAACTGATTTTGTAGGTTTTGGGCACTCCAACAAGGGAAGAAATTAAATGCATGAATCCCAACTATACAGAGTATAAATTCCCTCAAATTAAAGCCCACCCATGGCACAAGGTAATGGCATGAAATATTGTAAGTATATTTATTTATTTATTTATTTATTACCTTTCTTTGAACCATGTATTTAGGTATTCATTTACATTGCAGATATTTCACAAACGTATGCCACCAGAAGCTGTTGATCTCGTGTCAAGACTATTGCAGTACTCTCCAAACTTAAGGTGCTCAGCGGTAAGTATCTGGTCTCACAGGGTGACGCATGCCAACGCTTAATTTCTACGTTTAATATTCTGTCTATTTAGATGAAACTGAATGTTACTGGTTCTGGTAAAATCTCGAGACGTTTAAAGTCTGATGGTAGTGTGCCTTTTCTTTTCTTTTCCCTTCTCTCTCCCTTTTTTTTAAATGATTATATACATTTATGATCCTAATCTTAGCCAGTTTAAGTAGTAGTTGACTTGCTTGTTTGTGGCTTGCCATTTATGATAGTTTACTTGTTGTGTTGTTGCTGTAAATGCTGTATCATTGGTTGGAGAAGAGACAATTGAATAACATTATTCTAAGAAGCATGGACGCTCTGCTCGCAAGGGGTAGCCCAGTTGGTAAGGGCTTGGGGTCTCTTGCTCATATTGGTTTAGAGGTCTCAAGTTCGAACCTTTCGGTGAGCTTAATACCAAAAACCCTTGATGTCTCCTGAATCCGGGCCCTAGGATGGGCGCGTGTGCTTGTGGGTGTAGGGGAGCAAAGCTCCGACTCTCAGTTATAAAAAGAAAAAATCCATGGAAGCTGAAATTTGGGTAACGTATCTGTGTTGGACATGTGTCGGACACTTGGATGGTGACACTTCATTGGATATTTGTTAGCTGTTAGAAGATATGTGTCAATCACATGTTGTACAAAGTGAATATGGATCTAATACTTGTTAAGCATGTGTTGAACTCTTGTGAAGCGTAAGAAATAGACTTAAAATAGTAATATAAGACAAAATAATAAATTTTGAGAGTAAAATACATCGAACTCATTTTTCAAGCATAAAAATGCATAAGCTCATCCTTATGGTACAAAAATGATATATACTTAAAAAAATGGTATATTTTGATAAACGTGTCCTTCCTGTGTTGTGTTTGTGTCATATTTGTGCCTCATGCCGGGATCCATACTACTTCGATATTATTCCTTCCATCAGTTTTAGCCATAGACGGTGCCTGATTAAATATAAGCAGGGAATGTTTGGCTACCAAATAGTGATCTTTATGTGGGTTGTTGAACAATTTTCCACCTAAAAAGGGACCTATGAATTATCATTTGACTTTTGACTTTTAGCCCTTTGGGATAGCATATGGAAAACATAGTGTTGTCTTTTTGTGCAATACATTACTTGCTCTCATATTCTCATATCTGCACTTGGTAAATAATAAGAGTTTCTCTATTGTAACATGAGAAGTAATCAGTTCTATTTAACATGTGATACAGTTGGATGCCTTGACTCATCAATTTTTTGATGAGCTTCGTGATCCGAATACCCGACTGCCTAATGGACGCTTCCTTCCACCACTATTCAACTTTAAAGCTCATGGTATGGTAACAAATAACAATTTTCTTTTGTTTTAATAAAAAGAAGTGAAAACAATTTCTAGACATGCTAATTAATCTTCTGCATTTAATGTTGTGGCTATTGGTGCTGCTTCATTTGACTAGAATTGAAGGGTGTACCTATTGAGATATTGGTGAAATTGATACCAGAACATGCAAGAAAACAATGCCCATTTCTTGGGTTGTGAAATTGATTAGTAACGTAACCGTTTCACCAGTGGCGTCGTCTCATCTCGACAAAGAAAGCTACGGGTGTCCCAGTCTGTGCTATTCCTTCTGTTTGCTATCAGTATATCTCTGTATTACCAACTACCTTGTTTTGAAAGAGCAGATCTAGATATGTTCTTCTTAATGAATGGGTAACAAAAACTCTATCTAATGTTCTTCCATGTGTATCGAATTCGGCTTTACGTGTTTTAATCTGTATTAGGATTTGGTTGGATGTAGTTAAGGTGAAGTTGGCAGCGGATTTCTTGGTCCGGCTGCCCTCGACGGGACTGGCTTACCTGGCTACACAGTCTTGTTATTGGAAAAAACATGTGTGTGCCAAGTATGTATCAACCTTTTATCTCCATGTGCAGATGATGGTGTATCTACTTCCTCTTGTACACTTTTTATGATCATGGACTTCCATCTTCTTTCTGCTCTTCTATCTTTTCTTCAGCTGGATCAGATCAGATGGATCCATGTATGTGTATATACTAGTTTGGATTATATTTAGAAATCACTTTTCTTTGCTTAGATGAGACTCAATGTGAGATGAAGGACGGGTGACCCTTTTGCATTGCTTTTCTTCAGCTGTTTCTTTGCTGCTTGTTAACAGAGAATTAGGCAAATTGCCACTGAATTGTAAGAAAACTAGCATTTTTTCATCTGTTTTTAGTGTTTTTTTTAATTCCGCGGAACTCTGAATCTGACATATTCATATGATGAACGTGGTGGTGGCAAGTTAAAACTATGGTTCTTTTGTCTGAACAATGATGGCAAAATGTTTAACCGTATTGAAGTTATTCTGAGCTCGCTTATGCGATTGCGATTTGTCTCTCCCTCGGAACACTTCTCTTCCCTTCCCCATTGCTGCTGAGGTGGCTCTGGTCGTTTTCTAAGGTTTGTAAGGTCAAAAGAAGATCATCTCCTCCTATCTGAAAGGGAAGAAAGATGATCAAGAAAGGAGGATTGATACCTCTGATTAGAAATTTATGTGAATGCTAAATCTACGATTGTTCTATGAATAGGTAATGGTTGGAGTTATTGATAATGTCCATTAAGGTACTACCAAAGTGCATCGAAGTCCCAAAAGCTTCACCTTTGAACTATTGAGGCAACATCATTATGGAACTATTTGAAACCCATTCTATAAAACAAGCAATTGAAAGGGAGAACAATAAGAAGTAATGGTTGAAATGCGAGAGAAACACTTTTCTTTGTAACTTGAAAATTGCCCATTTGATTACAAGAGACGCGTTGTTTGCCCCCATCCCTACCTTGCTCCAATAACACTTCAACATGTTTTTTTAGTTCGGGTTCGGAAGGTTGAAGATATATGCTTTAGCTATATCTTTTTTGACAACGAAAACAAAAAATAGAGAGATTATATTTGAAAATGATTTATTGTAGAAGGCTAAGCTCAACCTACAGCCCATCGCTAATTTGTTAGCCATTCTTTTACACAAATGGAAGGAGCATCCCTGAAAATGGGTAGGATATCTTGATGATATCCTTAGCTAACAAATTCACTTCTAAATCATCCCTTTTTCTCAAATTGATTAGGTTGAATACATGTGCCAAATTTGTTTCAACTTCAAGCACCCAAAATCTTGCCTCGAAAGCGACTAAAAAGCCATCCCTTAATGCCAAAGCTTCAACTAAATCGACCCATCCCTTAATGCCAAAGCTTCAACTAAATCGACATCGGTAATCCCCCGATACACGTATACATCACCTCTTCTCTATCATTTTGGAAAATAGCACCCATATTACCTAAAATTGGGATCCATTTGAATACCTGCATTTGTGTTGAGTTTGATATTTGGACTGATTGGAAGTTTCCAATTAGTAATAGAAGAACCCCTTACAACCTTCCAATTACTGTTGCTCTTGGCATTGAACTTCCTAAAATGTGATACATAATACATATGCTTGGACTCAATTCGTATCCTCTTCTGGGTCGTTCTTTAAATGGAGATGCATTAAAGTTTAGAAAGAAGCAGCAGAAAATATCTATCCATCCTTGGGACTGTTTCGGCCAATTCATGTGGTAGAAAGGAGTTTGTTGCCAAGCTTTTTTCAAACTTTCGCATTCCCAAAAAGTATAATTCCATCCCAATATTTGTATGTTCATGTTGGCATATGTTGTGGTGTATTATTTAAAGGTCAGGAAGAAACTTTTAACTAATAAACCAACATGACACGTATGCATTAAACCAAGTTAACATGTCTTATTAGATGTAAAATTCAAAGTTTATAGACCAAGTTTATAAATTATCATTTGGAGGCGATATCATGAATCAGCTGACATACACAATCTAGTAATGGAATTGGAGCATTGTTGTCTTGTTCACCAGTGAGGGGTACTATACATTTGAATCTAACATCGAGCTTAGAGATCTAGGGTATATCTCTTAGGATAAGCATTTAACGCCGATATTAAGGTTACTTTGAATCGCAGAATCGTGCTTTCGTCGAATGTTAGAAGATATCTTGTTGGGTGAGCTCTATCCGAGAAGAGGGTCGATGAAACTCTACTCATCTTTCACGTACTCCTCAACTCATCGATATCAGACTCAATTCCACGTGGCATTGCAGGAGTGGTCCACGTGTCAGAACAGATTTTCCCCTTAAGATCCTTAGAATTACAAAATAGCGATGAAAAATGAGGAGAAAATGATCGGAAACAGAACAGCTTAGAAAACCCTCGATAAGGGAAACTCGAAGACTCGCGAAGAAGAAGAAGAAGAAGAAGAAGAAGAAGAAGATGCCATTGGGAAAGTACTATTGCGACTACTGCGAGAAGCAATTCCAAGACACCCCTTTCGCCAGAAAACGCCATCTTCACAGCCTCTCCCACCAGAAAGCTAAAGCTCTCTGGTTCGACTCCTTCAGAGGTTCTCTCTCCTTTTCCCCCACATTTCAATCCGCAACTCATTCTTCTTTCTGCTCATCCTTTTCCTTGCAGACCCCAATCAAGCTTTCTCTGATGGCTTTGGAAGAGGCGTCTGCAACCGATTCGTCAGAACAGTATTCTTCGCTTGGCAACTGAATTCTGACCTAATTTTTGTTTCTTTTGTGATTATGTTCTTAATTCGCGTTGCTTTGATAGGGGTTTTGCCAGTACGGTGATTCTTGTAAATATTTTCATCCCAAGAACAATCCGCAGAACTCGAGTACGCAACCCATTGCAGGTAGAGCAACTGTCCTTACCATGTTTCAAGAAGCGAATGCTATTTATTTCGAAACCTTGTCTGATTTAGAATCAATCAAAATATCAGGTTTCCCGGAATATAGTAATCAAGCCTCAAATATTCCTGTGAATCAATTCGTCGAAGGCAGCTCTCTGACAGGTAATTATTTAGATTCTTGAAATCGTCAGCAGTCTAAAGTTCTCCCCATTTTGTAAATTTACTTGTCCAATTGCTGCTGTTGATTAAAATTTTAGTCGATCATTACAAGTTAGCCTTCAGAAGAATGACCAATCAATTCCCATCTCCATTCCTCTTTCATACATGGATTTTTAACAGGTTTTTCAGGGTCCTCCACAAGTTACTGGAGAAAATGACTGGATTTAATATTCATTTTACATAGTGCTTGTTAACTAACATGGACCATGAGGCCTGATTACGGGTTCACGACAGCATCCATCAATTGTTAATAGATCTGCAAATCATTCTGAGTTCTACTATTGAATCATTTGTTCAAGGATTTCCTGTCACATTAATCTTGCATAATTCTGAAGATATTTTTCGTCTTAAGCTCTCTATTTGTTTTCAACTTTCTATTTTTCATATTTCATCAATTTTGTTTACAGGCAATTTAGTTAGCAACAGAATGGGAACATCATGGGGCAATTTACCTCCATCATTGATGCCTCCTCCAGAGGGTGGTTACCCACCTCTTCCCATTGTAGACTGGGGCTAATTGATGAATATCAGTTACCGGTACAAGTCTCCTCGGCTTCTCGTGTTTCCACCCCATGTCTTATGCAGCGGTTTGCACAAATGTAGTGTCGCTTAGAAGCCAGACAAATGAACTTTTTTTGTTCTTCTCTCGGGTACGAAATGCAACCCCAAAGTGTCATAAACATCGACTTCTGTTAAGGTTCAAGTAGTATTCAAGTCATGATGCGTCATGTTTATGGTTCTCTAAACTTGTTGAAACCATAATCGGGAGAAATTTAGATAAAGAGTTGATAAAGCATAGTAAACAGAAGCGTGATTCTTAGCTCTCTTTAATAGCAAACTGAATTTTTCATTCATAAACCAGGCATCAGAGGGTCCATATGTTATTAATCTCAATGCATAGTCGAAACAGAGTGTAGAGAAGTGTGAAGAACATATGAATGCATGGTTCAAAATACGTACATTAGCCCGGAAAGCATATTATTATTCCTTTTATTCAAGCATCTTGACAAACAAGCATCACCCAATACATCCTCCTATACATTGGTAGTCTAATAACTTGAAGATGCAAGAACCTCTAACAAGGAAGCAATGAATTGCATCTGGGTCTGTTCATCTATAGTTAAGAAGAGAGGAACATGAACAAATAGCGATTTGATGCCGTTCTCTTCTGCGTAGCGGAGGGAATGATAGTAGACATAATTGCACACGAAACGACCCGCATCATCTGAAGTCATGACTTCATATCCCTTTTTTGCCAATGTCTTGGTTATTTCCTCCACTGGAAGGGAAGTCTGCAGGGCAGAGTTGGATGAGAAATCAAATTAAAAGAAAAAAATCATGACTTGCATCAAGAATTTAAGACCAGCGAAAGGGTGCTATAATTCCTGCAAATCAAAGGTTATTTGCTTCAAGTGTAGACAACGGAAAATTTGCTACAGATTTTGTTTTTTCCAACCAAGTTCAATTCTTCTAATGTTTTTGATATTAGCATGAACGCATACAAGATACTACAAAAAAAATACATTTGAATATTGTCATGCAATTTCAATATTTTCATGTGCGTATAATGTATTAGTTTATGATATTAGCATATTTGAAGGATGTAATAAAATATGGCATACTCGAAGAAATTAAACAAATTGATTAGATATTTCTATTGATGCAATGCCTCAAATAAACAAATGACTTTTTATATTGTGAATTTCATTCTAATAAAATGCAAGTATCAACTCATTTTTTCATATAAAATTAACATTTTAGTTCATTGTACTAAGAATCTCAATATAGCTCAACTAGTTAAGGGTATATCTCGGATATGTAACTCTAACTAAAGTGTTGGGGTGCTGACCAATTACCACTCACAGTGATGACTTCATGTCCACTGTAGCAGTATTCTCGCAGTATTCTCGCAGTATTCTCTCAAATTTTAACAGATAATGATATCTAAACATCTATATTTGGTCAAAGAAGAGCATATTCTGGTTCTCAGAACTTAAAAAAGCAACTCAAGCAGGCATTCCCTAAACTGAAGTTCTAATAGTCAGAAAAGTGGCCTCCAAAAGACATGAATATAGTTTCTTAATGGTAGTATATTTATAAAATGCAGGTATAAAAATTTAACCCATGGGAAAATTTATCATTCTACCTCTCGTACACGTGAAATTTCACCATCCTCGGGAACGATTGGTAATTTCTGCAGCAGAAGAAACAAATAACTGATCAAACTCACAGCAAAAAAGGTGCTCAAACAAACTAAAACTCTCCACATGACTAAGAGATCGATACACATTAAGCAAATTATGTACCTGAGGTTTCCATCCCATTTCATCAGGACAACGAAAAGTGGCTTCATTAAAAGCTCGATGTTCAACAGCAAACCTTGAAGCGCCGCTATTAACTCCCAAGTGAAGCTGAAGCAAGAGTAGTAATAATTTGTACTCATTACTCAGAACATCAATGAAGAGAACCAACATGATGCAAGGCACACATTTGCAAAAGTTCTGCAGTCAAGGTTTTCTGTTTCTCTTATCAACAATCAAGATTTTGTGAAGAAAATGATTTAAATGGACAGAATTATGCTTTTCAAACTAAATCGTCTGTATTTACATGTTCTTATATTCAGAATTTATGATACATATATCCGTAATGCTTAAGATGGTGTCAATTTCATGTACATGATATTATTCAAAGCCAACCTCCCTATCTTTTTTCTGTACATATAGCTCAACTAACTTACTGTAATGTTTGTAAGGTTTTCAGGCATTATAATAGTATTCCTGTAAAAAATAACTAACTATACCTCAAAATAAAAGTGAATTAAGATGAACAATATAGACTTCAATATTGAAGCAGGCTTTATCAAATGTAAAGGGGCTGTTCTTTGTCATTTTATTCTTCATTGACTTTTCATTATAGACACTGAAGACCAACAACTTCCTAAAAAATAACAGGAAAGTTAAACCAGGACAAGTGGGAGCGATGTGATTTCCAAGTAATTTATGCTGTAGCTTCCATAGTCCAGTCACAAATACTAATGTGTAAATAAGTAATGAGCAGCAGATTATATATCATAATGAAACATAAAATAAGAGTAGACAGATAAAAGGGGAAGGTAACTTTCCAGAGATGAGTTAAAGAGGAAACAAGTATTAAATAGATAAAGCTTTGAACTAAATGCAGGAATTACTGACCCATATGATTCTTCTTGAATTAGTAGGTCCAGAATCGTTCCCCTCTATTGCAGATTCCAACGTCTTCCGTAGCGAATCAAGAGATCCATGCCCGGCAGTCTCAAGAATTGAGCAATTCCCAAGAGTTAGACCTTCTGGCAAACCATTCTTCTCCATATACTTCTTGAGATTATTCACAATTGTCTCAGTTGGATTGTCAGAAACTCCATGGAACTTCTTAAACCCCGTTACATGAATCGTCACTGATGGAGGCCCTTCCGACCCCATTTACCAATGATATTTTCTTGATAACAGTGCTACTACAGAGAGAGTGGCAAAAGGAAAATTGCCCCCAACAATCTGCAAGATATGAATGCATCTAAGCTTATTGCAACTGAAAGTACAGTTCTCAGTAGAAAAAAATCCTCTTCTTTAGACTTCATGTTCCCTAACACCATAATCTCATTGTATAACCCATTGACTTCTCTTGGATACGTTAAAGGTTTTACAAAAATAGCTTATTAAAATCTGGACTGTAAATAACAAAATCAGTGACCCAAATAGCACATACAATACTCACTTCAATAGTTGTATCCACAGAATCAAAGAAAAAGAAAATTACAACACAAGCATCTTCTAAGAAAAGAGAGAAGCAGCAGCAGTAATCTCCATTGAAATACCTCGGAAATCAAACAAATCGAGAGAGAGAGAAAACCCAGTTCTTAGAACTACATGACAATAGAATGAAGGTAATGATCCGTGTAAAGTTGAAGACGGAAACCATCCAGCAGATTCATCAACTCTCAAGAATAAGGAAAACAGAAGAAATGAAAAGGAAAAAGTTCAAGGGCAAAAAATTCCCAATCGAGATGCTGAGTTAAATTAGAACTGAATCAGAAGCCCAAAACGCAAAACTGATCAGAAACAACAATTACACAGAAATCTACCCAACTGGGCAAGGAGAGGGCAATTAAAGAAACTGGGTTCATAAAAAAAAGGGAAAAATCCGCAGAAAGCGAGGAATATAGACATGTTTACCTGTTAAGATTGGAGAGGAAGGCAATAACTCAACCACCAGTCTTATCTGTTCTTTACCTAGTAAAACTAAAAGACGATCAGATTATCAGAGAAAAAAGGGATTAAATAGCATCGTAGAGAACGTGGAGATGGTGGGAGTTGGAAGGTTGCATCGAAACGCCCAAAAGCAAATTATTATTTTTATAATTTTGTGGGACACTATGAAATTGCATCCATTTTGGATAACATTTCGCAGTCGTAATCATTCATCGACATCGTTTCATTTTTTCTTTTGGAAATCATTTCTCAAAATATAAAATATAAATCTTGGAAATTTCATCAAACCCATCAACTTCAAGTCTTGTTTCATGACTTTATGCTCTGAATAATCACAATCATAAAGTTTTTTACGGAGCTGGATACCAATATTCTAAACATTCATTGAATAAAACTTGCTTCTTTCTTGGTTTATTCAATTATTTTAGATAAAATATCCATTTCTTCTGTTGATTCTCCCATTTTATTCGAATTTGTTTTTCATATACCAACTATGGGGAATATATTCTTTTACCATAAATAAATTTATATAGTCGCATCTATCTAGCTTATTAGACATTTTCTAAAGTTTATAATTCTATTAATTTTTTTTAGATTTGTTAGATATTGTATAGAGCTAAAAAAAATTTATTGGACTAAAATCTCAAAGTTCAAGACCAAATTGTGTAATCTAATTTGGACTAAATTATCACTAATTAATTAAGTCGGTATGTTACCCGTTGTATAACTATGTTAATAGCAGAGATATATTATAACTAAAATTGAGAGGTTAAAAGAAGTAATAAATTTTTTTTTAATTTAGGGATTAAATAGGGATCATATTAAAACTTTTATCTATAACTGCATCGGTAATTAAAAATCCACCTTATTATTACTATTATAGTTATGTGAATTATGAAATTGCTTTAATTATTTTCCATTACCATTGTTTTAGAAATAAATTATTCTCAATGTGACAGTTCTATTTGTGAATTTTTGTCAAAATAATGACAATCATAAAGTCTTATTTGATAGGCCGAAGAATACTAATATTCTAAAACTCTCCTTCAATAAAAATAGTATTTTTCTGAGTTTGTTATTCAATTCCACCTCATTAAATGACACCTATAGTTTAAAGGTGGGTTCAAATTTAGCTTAGAATTGGTACAAAATCAATCGATGGCACCTATAGTTTACATGTTTATAATATTGAAATGATTCGAGGTAAGATGATGTTGAGTTATTTTCTTCTTTATTAATTTTTTTCATCCCACCTATTTATAGGTAAATAGATTGTTTTAGGATGAAAATTTTATATGCAATGATTTTTATTATTTATGTTTTTTTTTGTCAAAAGTAATAATATTTGAGTTGGTTAGATTGAAAATGGGTCTTGTCATGTCTCCAACAAAAATATTCTTAAACCATTTGCTTTGCATTGTGATATTGTTTGTTATATTGAATTTATTCTAAAAGTACATCATTTCTTTAATTGCTAGAGAGCTAATATTGAATGTTAAAGTAACTTTTGACAAAGTATTGCATTTACAAAAGGACACCAATTTCCAACCATACCAAGATTTATGTACCTTGAGGTAATAAGTTTAATGTTTTTTTTTTCTGTCAACTTGAATAACTCAATTGATTAAGATATATATCATCGATCAAAAGATCAGGGTGAGAATCTTGATTCTCAACCTTAAATCTTGTTGTACTCCAAGAAAAAAAAGCTTAATATTTTTCTATAATTATTTAACTATACATAATAAATGATAAATACTAAATAATCTTTGATTATTAAGGATTCAAAGCATTTTAATAAATATTAAATTGTATTTTTTTGCAAATCCGGCATAGTTCAATGGGTAAAGATACTTATTATTATCTGTTAAGGATCCCACCTTGAAAAGAGAAGGGACCTAACAATGGTTTATAATAGACATGAGCTACTCCTCCCATTGTCAATTGGTTTTGAGATGGAACCCCATGAAAGCCCAAAACACTCAAACGAGCATGCGGTCCCGACCAAGATCGATAAACCAAAAAGTAACTTCCAGCATGTCTCGCCACTCCTCCTCATCAATGTCAAGGACATCCTCAACGTTGTTATTGTCATTAACATAACTATTTGTAAAAAAAAAAAAAAATTTGAAACCACATGGAGTGAGTATAAAAATACTCTGTAAGCAATTCTCATCCTAAGAAACATTAAATTATTCAAATACACACATCATGTTTATATGCTTGCATACATACGATGATTGATAACTAAACACTTTGATGATTAGTTGAGAAAAACAAGACAAGTTTACAAGCAATTTGATTGAAATAACTACCATGTTATACTTTAAACTCTTTACTTAAAATACTTAACACAGCGAGTAAACAAACAGAATGAACTTAAGCAACAAGTATAGAAGAAATTTATCAACTGATGTGTGAGAGGTAATGGGAAAGAGTTTTGTGACCTATTTTGAGTACAAGTAAACGATGATTCAACAATAACTAATGATGTTAGCACACTAGCCCACAAGACATTACTCCTTTCTAGGATGCCCAGATTTCATGGTATTCGGATTTTAACTCAAAACAACAACATTTTAACCCAGTCTTTAGCCATGCTAAATGAGTCTCATCTCTAAGAACCTACACACTAAGCTCAAAAGTAGATCTAACACAAGTTGAAGTCAGTACTCTCTACTATAGTTTCCCAAAAGTTAGCAAAGAGATTATCCAATATATTGATCAAACACATTGAAAGTTATTCAATAGAAACAAACTTCAACTCAGTGCACATCATTATTATAAACTAAAACAAAGTTTACAACTCAAAATAAGTTCACGACATCCTCCCCTACTATGAGTTTAGCTACACAATGACATAGGTGGAAGGGAAGAAGGAATAATGTAACAAGAAGGAGAAGAATGAAATGTTGATGAACGTCAACTTAGTTTTCTTCTTCTCCAGGGTCTTCTTTTGAGTCTTCTCTTCTTCCTCCCCTTTGTCCCTTTGAGCTCTTAGGGATTTGTGGAGTGAAAAGATGGAACCAATGTGTAGAGAATGATGGAGGCAACCTTAAATGGTTGCTTTTATACTTCTCATTGATTTTAGGGCAACAAGATGGATAAAGTGGGCCTCAGCTTAAAAATGGTGTTAGCTCCATTTTCACGGGGGGAAAATTTATCTCTTTCAGCTCTGTTCCTTTTCTGCTTTTTTTATTCTGATGTTACAACATCAACAATGCTGTACCAAAACACTCAAAAGTTAGAATATATAACATAAAGCACAATACCACCAACATGTAATGTTGTTTTGGAACTTGAAGCATGCTAGCAATAAATCAAGATGAATTTAGCTCATGGTGTGAACATTATTAGCTATTCTTGGTGATTTTCATACAAAAATAACTCTCTTAAGGAGAGTTATCAACTAATTTACCAACCTAAATCTTTAATTTGACGTCATATTCAGCAGAAATACCTCGTACCATAACTGTCAATTCTGCATGTAAGATATAGGACCATTATCCCCATAAATACCATTAGCATGAAGTAATTTGTTTCCTATGGCTTAGTCCGTTAGCAGAAACTATACATGACATATCATACATTTTAGCTGCATAGCACAACTGCTTAATTTGGGTATTTCATGCATAATATTAATCTTATCTAAATCCACGATACATAAGATTATTAATTTAACAACGAATACAATGTGTCACACATTATGTCATGTTTTACATAAATATGCTTCACTATTAAACGTACTAAAATATGAGATCATTAAACTATGTGATCAGTATACATACTTTGCAATAAATCAAACATAACTAAAGTAATCATTCAATAAAAAAAATATTGAAGCAACATAAATAACTCAACTCAATAACAAACAAGGCAACTTAATAACATAATTCACATACAATCAATAATACCACAAAGATAGACCAACGGTAACTTAGGATAGAATGTACTTACCTAATCAATAATATCACACAAACTTATGATAGAATCCACTCCTTAAAGCTTACTAATAACCATTAATATAACTAAAATTAGACATCAATTACCTACTTAGAAATTAATTTTACATATGTTTATTTGACAACTAAATATAGTAGAGTTAAACAATTGACTCACAAAATTAATCGAGATGCACGTTAATTGACTGGACAGGAAAATAAATTAGAAATTGATCTAATAAATTGTTAGTATTATTTGAGATTTGAGATAAGGTTTGACAATAAAGAAAGGGTAAAGAAGAGGGTTGCCAACCGAGGAAGATTCCTTTGTTTTCTAAAGATGACAGGTCGGTTATACTTCCAATGTCACGGACGTTTGTGATTGGATCATAATTTTTCTTTTTTTATATATAATGTAAGATGACAGAGGCGCCAGGTGGTGTAAATAAGCAGTAGTCGGCATGGAACACGTTCGATTAATCCAACGGTCCACATTAATCTCTTTATTTATTTGATAATCCGCGGTTTTTTGACCGACCCCACAACGCACAAAACGTGTTCATCTTCTTTTCCTGAAAAAAAGTTAAAAGAAAAACAAATACTTTGATATTAAATGTTCGTTTATAGCCTTTGAAAAAAATCGATAAAATATGAAAATATCAACAATTTGAAATTTAGATATTAACATTTCTATTCACATCGACATTTAAAATCTTAGTTACATGGGAAGTAATACAATTTTATCCCGTTTATGTTTTTGAAAAAGCTTGTAAGCACCGCCAATAAATTTCTTTGTTTTTCTATCTTAAAATCGAAACGAAATTTTGAAACTAAAAAAATAGTTTTCAAAAACTTTTTTTACTTGAAAAGTGAAGCATATTAAAGATAGTATTTGTGAGTAAGCTTCTTTTGAGAAAAAAAATTAAAATGAAATGTTATTAAACGAGACCTTAAAATTTTAAGTATCATATTGACAAATTAACTTTTAAATTTCTTCAATTTTATCTCTATGTAACAAAAAAAAGAATGAAGAGACCAACATAGTGAGAGAGAAATAAAGGAAGAAAAACTTATATTCATTAAAATGAGAGAATAATTACGTGTATTTATAAGAAAATAAGAAACCGGCCACTAATCCACTAAACATACCATTGCCCTTAAAATCTTCACTGAGCCTAGAATTCTCCACCTTTCATCCACTCCCTCAACTAATAAATAAACTACCTTTACTACAAAATTAACTTGTAAAAACTATTAAGCACTAACATGGTAATTAAACACCAAGTGTATGGGTACGCAACTTGTTCATTGGAATGTATCTTCTGCAACTGGATGTTAGCTTGTGTCAAAACTTTCTCTCGAAAAAAGTGAAAATATGTTTCAATGTGCTTTGTAAGAGTATGAAACATTGGATTATAGGTAAGCTTGATTTCGCTTTTATTGTCACAAAAAATAGACACCGGAGTAGTCCAAAATAGAAAAGCTTTCTCCCCTAAGTCTTTTCAACAAAATACACTTTTGAATAGCTCACATAATGACTACTTATTGATCTGTTTTATCGCTTGAAAGAGCAACATAAATTTGTTTTTTACTTCACCATAATATATCTCCTAAATAGTACCCTATTTGGTCGTGGAACGTCTATCATTAACATTACCTACTCAATTTGCAACAACAAAAATACTCAACACAGAAGATGTAGCTTGTTTATATAAACGGCCAACACTCGACTCAAAGTGCTATTCACATTTTAAAGAATCCTCTTTGTTGTAAATTAAATGAGCTTCATATGATTTGTCCATAAACTCTAACAAGGCAGCGACGTAAACGAACATAAATCTACTTCTCGAGTGCTTCTCATCAATCTGCATAAACCAACACGCTCATTCTCTCACTCTACCAGAAATAGAATGCCCACTTTGCCCTTAATGAAGAGTTGGCCTTTGGTTTCTTGCAATGGCACTGACGCGTCTAATTGGGGTCTAACTTGGATTAGTTTTGCACATTGCAAATGTCTATCGTCCATTTCTAACTTACAAGTAACAGCAGATTTGTTTAGTCTTTGAACTTTAAAAGAATAGAAAAAAGATAAATTTTTACTTTAAACTTGACAAAGTGTATCAGATTTTACCTTAACCTTTCAAGTTCATCGAATTGCACTTTAAACTTTAACAAGTGTTGCAATTGAGAAGACATATCATTGTCTTTGCGTACGTCATACACGCACTGTGTAATATGATGTTATGAGACCAACACCACGATAGAGCTTATGACCATAAGGGGCATCGCATAAGTGACTGCATGGATGAGCAATATGATGTTACATCCTACGTGTACGTGTTAGGTTCTATGATCGCATTGCTTAGTTATCCAATCTTGCTACATGATGTGCCAATAACTCCAAGTAATCCTGTAGATTAGTAGCGCAAGATGTTATATTTTGCATGGACGCGTTAGGATTTACAATCGTATTTCCCATTTATTAAATCGCACTATATATGCGATGGGTATATCACAAAGTAAATATATACATAATGAAGAATATATTCAAAAAACGTCGTTGAATACCTAACCACATTTAAACGAAAATTATGTAGGGTCTTAATTATATGGGCTTTGCCATTTTTCAAAATATATATATATATGCCGAAGAGTATTGTTTATGTTTCTATTCAAAATTAGACGCTTCTCTTTTTTATTTGCTTATTATATCTTTATCCCTAATTGTTATTTCCAACACGGATCCGTTCTTTGCAATTATGGCACTCTTATAATAATAAGAATAACGATAATATTTAACCAGTTTAGGATGGTTAACCATGTTGATTAAGAGAAGGATTTTCCCTTTTCTTTTGCCTCAAAGAAGCTAATTTCAAGTATATCCTGTTAAACAAATTTTCTTGTGTCAAAGCTAAAAAAGAATTGTTCTTAATTGTTAGAAGCATAAAGCAATATTTAATAGGCCTATGTGTTTTTGAACACTTAATTACTTGATATGGTTTCAAATGTTTGATGAAAATGGATAAATGGGTTGACAGTTGACCCATAGCATTAACCCATTCACCACCCACAGCTTATGAAGAGTGGAATTTAGCCTTTTGAAGCTCGCACCCACAACAAAAAGCAAAATGTATAGTTGTAACCCATAAGCAAATTAATGCTTAGGTTAAAGTAATATAATTTATTATTATAAGACAAAATTTAAAACTTCTCACCTGAGTTGAAAAATGATGCATACTCCAAAGACCAAATGATTTATGATTAAAAATATAGTTTCAGCCCCTAAATTTATCATATTTATAATTTGGTCTGAGCTCTACTGTTAGGATTATTATGTGGATCATAATCAGGGAGCCATGAGAGCTTTGATTTTCTTTCAGATAAAAAATTGGAAAGAAACATTTGTGAGCATTGTGTAAATATTTGTCGATGCTATATACAAATTTTATTATTGTTTTGTTTTAGTCTTTATACTTTTTTAAAAAAGAAAAAAAAAACTATGTAACCATATTCGTATCGAAGAAATAATCCTACACAACGCGCATATATTTATAATCGGTATTTAATGAGAAAAGCCTAATGTTTTTGTTAAAAGACAAAAAATAAGAAAAAATCCATTTGCAAATCCCACTATAAAAATGAACTCGTATACGTATTCCTATAATTCATGTGGCATGAGAGAGGGGGCGTAAAAGTAAAGAACTCCTCCCCTCTCCTTTAACGCCTCCTATTGAATATTGATATCATGAAATGAATACGTAGATTCACCAAATAGATCTGATTTTTTGCCTTCTTCTAGAAAATCCAATCACCCAAACTGCTGCTTCTTGGTGCCACACCCAAGATTTTGCTTTTTGGATTTTCCAAAAGCTTTCCTCTTTTGCCTTTTAACAACAAAAATATCCTTTCTGTTAGTGTTAACCCATGGAATCATAACGTATTTCAACACCCGGACATAGTCTTACATCAGCTAGAGAAGAGGAAAGATTTGTAGTCTTGGCTGGAATGACCATATGATGTCTTTTTGAGTGAACTCTAAAGCAAATTTATATATATATATATAGACAATATCATACCCTTGTACAATATGAGAGATCTTTTGCTCAAATACCTTTCAGTTGTTTTTGTCGATCCAAACACAATCCCAAGAGTCGATGGTTCGATTCTGCACACCTGCAATTTTTCGACTAAAAAAACAAAGATACTTTTCAACTGTTTTAACTTTTGACAGTGATATAACCTCATTTAACAGAACGGAAAATAAAAGAAATAGAAAGTTCAAAAGGATAAATATGGGTCGGAATTTGAAAGTGGAGGGATGAAAAATGTTGTTATTAAAGGATCTAGGGAAACTTAGGAAGGAGGCACATGATGAAGCAAGTAGCAGAAAATGTTCCAGATTACATGGGGATGGTGGGGGGCAAGAAATCAGTTGCTTGAAGCTACAAAATCTGGTGAGGCCTAAGAAGACAAACAAAATTAAGGCTGTTTTTATGGTGTAAGCTGTAACCTCTGGTTTTGGTTCCATGCAAAATGGCCTACCCTTCCTTCCCCCAAGCAAATAATAAAAATATCATGCATTATTTTAAACGGTTTGCTTTTGCCTTTTTCCATGCTTAGAATTTCTTCTAAAACTTTCTGTTACTGGTCATCTTCTTCTTCCTCACTCTTCATCCCCCTCTCTCTATATATAAATGGCTCCCCACTGTCTTAAACCAACCACTCAGCCCCATCTGCTCATACAAGAAGAAAAGAGAGAAATGAAAGCTATGGCTACTAGTGGAGATTTCTTGCCACCATTGGTTATGGTGGTTGTCCAATTCCTATACGCAGGCTTGAATATTACATCAAAGTTAGCCATGGAGTTTGGAATGAATCCACTGGTTCTAGTTGCTTACAGGCAGATGTTTGCTACAGTAGCCATAGCTCCTTGTGCCTATTGGATAGAGAGGTATATGTACTTACGAATTTACTTCACATCTTTTGAATTTAACTCTTGGCCATGGAAGGAGTTGAAGTTTTGCTGCTAAGCAATCAATATTAAATCATTCTTTGGATTTAGAAATTCAAATTTTGCTATTTAGTATATTCTTAACTGAACGGTTCAATCAAATATGAATGTGGAGTGAGGAGTTCGAAGATATAGATTGCAGAAAGAAAAACATTATTCATCTTATGAAGTTTTCTAAACTTGATACTAATGGACATCATATTAACAAACAAATCACTGCAGGAAAGGGAGACCCAAGATTACAAAGCCAATTTTGTTTCAGATTCTGATATGTTCCTTAACTGGGTAAGTCAAACCACTTTCGTTTCATTTCCATTCCTAAACTTTGTATAACTCCAAATATAAATGTTCAAATCAATAATATGCAGGGCAACAGCAAACCAAGTCTTTTACTATGTTGGGTTAAAATATTCAACCCCCACCATCGCTTGTGCATTGACCAATGTCCTCCCAGCTGCAACTTTTGTCCTCGCTGTTCTTTTCAGGTACATAAAATCCCCCCTTTCTTCACCATTTTTAGATCATAATGGCTGACATATTTGCACTGTTCCTCGTATGTTCTTTCCTACAAATCATTGTTTGTTTGGTAGACAAGAATCTGTGGCGATCAAGACAAGACCAGGTGCAGCCAAGGTGTTGGGGACTGTCGTGTGCGTTGGAGGGGCCATGTTGTTGTCGTTCTACCGTGGACAAACCATCGAGCTTGGTGAATCCGGGATCCATTGGAAGTATGCCGAGATGATGAGGGGCGGAAGCTCCAATGGCCAAGGCACAGGCAGTAGCATCTGGGGCTCTCTTTGCTTGATCATAAGCTCCGTTGCCTGGGCGGCTTGGTTTGTAATCCAAGTCAGTATGCTTTGCTTCTCTTGATTCCGTCTTTTTCCCTCTTTCTCAGTGTCAAATCTAAGACTGCACTGGTTATTCCTGCAGGCGAAAGTGAACGAGAAGTTTCCAGCTCCGTACACGAGCACAGCTCTCATGACTTTCATGGCAACCATTCAATGTGGAGCAATTGCCATTGGCGTCGAGCACAGGACTTTAGCAGCTTGGTCATTGAAGAGCTCAATCAGACTTGTTGGAGCTCTCTATGCAGTATGTTCATTCTCTAACATTTCCCTTTATAGAATTAAGAATGTCTGACATCGAGAATTTGGCGAAGAAACCTCGATTGAACATGACGACACTATTCCTGTCCATATTGAACTGAACACGCATCAAATTTATTTCTAAGCTCTACCCAAAAAGCTTAATACTAATTGAGATAGTCTTAATCTTCTCTAGTTCTAACAGACATGTGACTTTAATCCTGTTCTTTGAAAGATATTACTCGAGTCGAAACCTTTTCTTTTAGAGTCGAGTCGAAACCTTTTCTTGTAGAGTTTTCATTACGCTAAGTTCTATTTTCCCCTCGAGGCCACATTCAATAGATTTTACAAGGCAACACCAATAACACTTTCAGGGAGTGGCGTGCTCTGGACTTGCGTTTTGCCTAACCTCCTGGAGTATCCAAAAGAAAGGTCCTCTCTATGCCTCAGTTTTCAACCCCTTCTTGCTGGTTATCGTGGCTGTTTTCAGCTGGACCTTCTTTCAAGAAAAATTATATGTAGGAACGTGAGTATCAACTTACGTCTATAACTTCCGATCCTCAAGTTTACATTATCTATTGAAATAGTGTTGAAATGCCAACCAAAAGCATGTTTCAAGAGCAGTTTTTTCCTTCTGTTGGCTTCACTCAGTGTTGTAGGGTCAACGTTGATTGTCGCTGGGCTATATGCTGTCCTATGGGGAAAGACCAAAGAGGTGAAACTACAACGAGATACCGAAATGGCGGTGGCAGCAGAGGCAAAGCTAGATGACTGTAATGACAAAGATGGATTGGAAGAACAGTCCTATGTGGTTTCAAATGCCAATATTCTCCATCAAGTAATAGCTGAGAGAAAGGAGCAAGAAAACAAATATAGCTTGGTGTGACATTTGAGGATTCTGCTGAGAATACAGATCAAAAGCCATCAATTTCAACAGATGGAGTAAGAACGTGTTCAAAGGAAGACATAGTATCTGATCTTCGTCAAGTTGCATCCCTTTTATGTAATGAAAATTTTACGTTGTTCAAGTCTCAATATACACTACTTTACATACTATAGCAGCAAAGTCATCATGTGAAACAACTTGATTGTAACTTATCAAGTTTCAATAATTGTTATTGTCCTCCAAAAAGTGCATCTTTAAGATTATAATCATTAACAAACCAAATACCAGAGGAAGGCAGCTGCAGAAATAGAACCAAAGTCACTTGACTGAGCAGAGAATATACGGGTTTGGGTTGTTTTGGTCTGCAGAAGTTTAAAAATTTAAAGAAAAACACTTATTTAATGTTTCTTTTTCCTAAAAATGTCTATAAGGAAAATGTTCTGTTTAAACATATGGCTTGGAAAATCATTCCCTAATACCTACTCCCAGAGTTATCTTTATGATGCTTTTGGCAATGCAGAAGAGAAGTGGCCATTCCTTAAACAAAAACCGAGACCACCTAAATCATCCAAACTAGGCTTGACTAAGATCTATTAGTCAATACTTGAGGAAGCCATAACTCGATGGATGATGAATATTATTTTTTCTACCTTATCTATCCCAAAATTTTCAAGCTCGAGACAAGACTCTGATCGTGCTTCAAGTCCATTGATGGTCTAGGAATTGTGCACTATGTACTGCTTGCATCGCTAGAGAGTTTTTTATGAGAAATCGAACTTTTCATTGAGAAAAATGAAAAAAGAACACATATAGAAGGGCATGAAAAAACCAACCCTACAACAAGAGGCCCACGAGAGTTGACACTGTGACTGCAAAGTAAAGAAGATACTGATGAAGAGGATCAAAAAGTCAATAGTTTTTTGGGTGATATGTGTGAAGGGAAATGGAGGGCTGAACAAGATAGAAGTAATTCTACGAGATGTGAACAACTTGGTGGAGAAAAAGAAAAGAGAGAGACTTCATTGCTTCCAATTTGTAACAACAGTTTTTAAATGCAGATGACCGATGCCAGAGAGAGAGAGAGAGAGAGAGAGAGAGAGAGACAACATGAGACTGCATCACTTGCAAGTTGAAACTGGTAGTAACAGTTTGCATTACTTGCAATTGGTAACAACAGTAGGGAAGCTGGCGGTATGATGAGAGAGAGCATTAGTCAGGCTAATTAAGTTAGCCAGTCTAATGGTTATATAATAGGCCATGGGTACTAGAATGCTTGACGTAGCTAAATGATCCTTTGGACAAGGATTAGAGAAGAAGCAACTTCTGCCATTGATGGCTTGGGTACTAGAGCACTGGGATTTGGCATCAAAGAGATTTGGTATAGATATATTCAACTGAGTCCGAGAGGAGCCTCATACATGTCCCACACATTTCAGTGTAATATTTTCTCTTTTTTTTTTCCTTTTCTTTTTAATATTTTCCTTGTAACTGTTCTCATACATTCTAAGGTTGATTCTAGAGTTTATTTTATCTTCATGTTAAATTGAATCCCTCTCCTACACAATGATGATGTGATGATGAATCTTTGTTTGCTTCTATAATTTAATACCCTTCGACTTCTTTTTCTGACAAAATTGTGAATATAATGATGTCTAATGTCTACTTTCATTGATGAGATGCTTCGTTGCTTAGGTTCCAGCACTAAGCAAAAAAGACATTCTAGGTTAAACCTTTATAACTTAAAATAGGATCTACAAAATCGACAAGTAGACAAATGCTACAAGTCATGTAAAAGTATTAAAGTAATAGTTAGGTGATTTTAGAAATCTTGCTTAGAAAAATCCTTCCCTTTTTTTCTTTTAATAACTAAAGAGTTAACATCATACATTTCAAATAATCATATCCCCAATAGCAGAAGATGACAATTTTATGGACTTTCCACTTTGCATGAAGTCTCTTTTACTTTTCCAGTTTTCTAAAGTGTATGTGGTCCAGCTTGTCTCAACTCAAAGCATACAGAAGTATTTGAAAAGCAGTTGGCACCCAAAACGCATTCAACTTCATAAGAATGAATTTTCTTGTTTTAATAGCAATTCTACAACACTGGAGCTAACAAGATAACTTTTGGAGGTAATCTCACAGAAATTAATCATGAATTAAAATAAGAGCACCCTATTAATACGTGTAAAGATTAAATGCTTCCATAACGATTATTTTATGGATAACTACTATAATGGGCTTTGAGCCTTTTCTAGTTCTTTTTGTTAGTTTTGTAAAGAGAAAAGGAAGACTCCTTACTGCCTGAGAACTCTATTTGAGCTGAACAAGAAGTTCTCTTCTCCGGCAATGGTGGAGTGAAGCCGTCCTGCTGCCCACCCATTGTTTACAACTCGAACAGCACAGCTGGCTGGATCCCCGGTTACACGACTCTCCTCTATTTGTTGTTCAAATTCAGGCAGACCATTTGCCTTTCTTTCCCTCCTCCTCTGCCTCTCCTCGTCCCGCTCCTTCCTTAGCCAGCTCTCAACTGTTCTCTGAGAGTAAAATATCAGCAAGGCATAAGTAGATGCTAAAATTTGAGTTTTGAACTAATGAAAAACTTTTTAAACTTGTTCAGTTTTCTGTTCAAGGGAAATAAGCATTCCGCATCATAAAAACTAACCATAAGAGACAATTTGCTGATCTCCTTAATTTTTTCCATTGGCATGGAGATCTGCAACTTCCCATGAGACACATAGACCTACCACAACAAAATAGATTATTAATAAAGGAAAATTGGACATCAAAAGATTTAGAGAGAGAAAACAAACAGAAGAATTGAGCATACAATGTGCGATGGCCAGTCTTCTAGACCATCAAATATATGCGTGGCGTAGATTATTGTAGCCCCACGTTCTTCACATTCCCTTCTCAGAAACTTCAAAAGGTTAGCCCTTGCTAGCACGTCAAGATCCACAGTTATCTCATCAAGAAGAAGAACCTAGAAAGAAAAGAGCAAAATCAACTTTGTTTTAATATACAATGCTGCAATAATACCTATAGGTTTAAATCTCAATTTCGTCTTATCAAATAATAATAATAAAGTGATTTTTAGTTATGTCATAGAGGATCCACCCTAAGAGGTGAGAACAAATAAAGAAAGGAAAATAAAAGGTCCAATCCAACCGAATAAATGCAACTCAGATCATAATGAAGCATTTCTCAGCTTTCATTCTAAAAGGTGGAAGCTAAAATGAAAAAAAGAATCGACCATTTAATTATTCAAAATTGCACTAGAAAAATAATAGAAAGAGTGGCAATGGCAAATATATATGTCTATAAATCTATCTATATTGAATTATATTGAAATGCATAATAGAAATGATAGAATCATTTTGGATCAGATCATGTCTCCAATAGTGTTCATAAACTTTCAGATTTATTTCAGTTTGAACCCTAAACATCCAAAAGGTAACTTTAGTCATTGAACTTATAAACTGATTCCTTTAACAGACAGAGAATGTGACTTTCAAAAATGTGTATTGATTTGTTGTCATCAGCATTTATTGGAATCACATTACTTGAATAGGGCAGGTAATGGGTGACAGATATTAGGTGACTAAATAATAATAAAGTATAAAATGGTCCAGTTTTTTGAAAGTTCGGGGGCTTTTATTTTTATATTTGTGAAAGTTCAAAAACGAAAGTAGACAACTAGACATTTTGAAAATCTAAAGACCAAAATGGTTATCTTTTAAAAGTCAAATCTGGAAAATCAAAATAGAATAAACCTATAAGTTTAGGGAGGATTTAAACTATATCTATATTTCACTGAAAAAAAGAAGGAGAAGAAGAAAGCCACCCTATTAAAATAATAAATGTGTTTCTCCATGGAAGTATAACAACAAGATCCTAAAACGCAAGGTAAATGCAAGAAGTGAGTGATAAGTTAAGAGAGGAAGAAAGATTAAAATACCTTATATGCCTTGAGAAGACCCATGCATATCTGCACCCGTCTTCTCTGACCATCTGACACCTTGTGCATCTTCCATGATAGATCAATGTCCAACATCTTAAGTGTCAACAAAGGAAAAATAAAAAGATTATGAGTTCACGGACTGAAAATATCACTGCAGCCTAAAATTTATGGGAAAATTGTACAGCGTAAGTAAATTAAAGAAAAACGTAGTAATCCAAAATTCACTTCCAAAGCATAGGTGGTCTTAGCACAACTGTCTTAAAGAAGACAATTATGTGCGACCAGAAAATTAAGTTCACAGAAGTGAAGCATGGAATTGTATGATTATCTTACATTAATGAGTTCATCTCTCCTTTTCGGATCAATCCCATCCACTCCAAAAATTAGTTTCTCTGCAGATACAGCCATTTGAATGGAAACCTCAAATCCTGCGAAGGCTACATCTCTCTTCCACTGAAGAGTAGGGAGGAGCCATCAGAATTTTCTCAATCTTTTCATTCACGCTAGCAATAGGTACTAGAATTGGAAATTAATGTTCGGCCATGGTAAGGTCCATTCGAAACAGAATTTGGAAAAATAAAAGGGCAGAGGTATACTTAAACAAACAAAGCGCACAATTTTGGAGAAAAAGCAGGCAGGAGAAGAACCTTTAGTTCGATAATTCACAAAGCATGCAAGAAGATTTCTTCAGACTTCAGAGCTATAAAAGTTTGAAGCCATAAAAACGATAACCATGCAAGCAAAATTTATTAACAGTTTCTTATAACTAAGCCATGATTGCTTTGTAAACCCAAAAAACTCAAAAAGCACCCAACTAGATTTAATGCCAACAATGTCCTAACAAAAATAACCCAATAAATTCTTAATTGTCAGATTTCAAATGAATTCCTTTGTTTGCCATTCTTCCAAATAAAATGATCTGAACACATGTTTATACTTAAAACTTTCCAAAGAAAAAAAAAAAAAAGTCCGATTTTGCATGATCTCAAAGTTAGTTACTAATTTATCTTCATCAAATTTTTAACTTACCATTAATCAAAAAGCTACATTAGTAAAATCCTTCCAAAATTTTCACATTCCAAACAAAATAAAATATTTAAAGTCATTTCTAATTTTTCAAATCAGGGATTTAAAATTATTCCTATATTTCTTGATTCTTAAGGATAATACTCTAATTCAACCATAGAGAAGATGAAACAAATCAAAGCCAAGTGGGATCAATATCCGATATCAATTGAATTCATCAATGAAACACAGAAATAAAAAGGAGAAAGAATAAGGTAAACCTCTCCTCCTAGATAACAAAGATCACCAGAAACTGTTAAAGCAGTATCGTGAAAAGCCGACCTTCCAAGTACACGAACCATATGAGGCTCCACCATATGCTTCCCTCCCAAAATCTTCAAAATCGTGGTCTTCCCTGTGACCAAAATTAAAACTCAAAAAAGGGATCACAAAAACAAAAATCCCTTAAATTGTTTGCTACAAGATTTAGAGAGATCCATAATTGGGAATTACCAGCGCCATTGGATCCGACGAGAAGGCAACGGTGACCAGCATTGAGGGTGAGGGAGAAATCATCGATGAGGGGCTTGGAACCGGGCGGAGGATGGCCGTCGATTCCGGGGTAAGTGAATCGGAGGCCGTCGATGACGATGGTGGGGTCGGAACCAGGCTTCATAACTGCCATTCTGGAGATTGAGGATTGGAGTTTGGTGCTGAGAAATGGAGTTAAAAAGAGGAATTGAAGGAGAGACAGTTGGAATTGAGCAATTGGGTTGGTTTGTGATGGAGAAAGAAGCCGAATCGAGGCGTGGCATTTTTTCAGGCACTCAAAAAACCTTGCTACGCCATTGCATCGCAGAGACAGATTGAGGATTAAAAATTGGAAGGAAAATAAAGTTCAAAATTTTGGCCCATGCAGGTTTCGAACCTGCGACCTTCGCGTTATTAGCACGACGCTCTAACCAACTGAGCTAATAGGCCGTTGATTTTAAATTTGCATTTTAAAGTTTTTATTGTTTTATGATACTTATTTCTCGTTATGTTTAATTGAAAGATGTAATTTTAGACCTCGTAAAGTGAACAAAAATCTAATATATATGTTTAATTATTTGTAATTTTACTCGACGGAAAGACATCAACTCCACTCATTATTTTTACTTTTCATGTAAACATACTTTTAAATAGTTTACATTTTTCCTTTTAAAAAAAAAACAGTTTAGATTTTAACTAAAATTTTATTTTAGGTATTCAAAATAAATTGAAACATTCATTAGAATAATTAATGTCATTAATCATTAATAATATAGTCAGTAATTTTCTATATTCTCAATAATAGTCTTTCTAAGATGGATAGAGCTTTTATTTAAATACTAAATTAAAGTTAAAATGACATGAATACTAAAGAAAAAAAGCTAATTTAAACTTTGTAAGCTTGCTCTTTTATTATTGCCTTTTAAATTTACAACCATCAAAACTATGTTTTTTTTTATATGTTTTTCATTTATGTTCAGTATTAAAGAAAAACAAAAAGAAAAATTCATTGGGAGTTGGCCTCATATAACCATATATCTTGTAATATAAATTGCCATATGGATAATTTTCTTTACAAATATTAAAAATATAATATAGGAACAAAAGCCAACTATTACAAAAGGAATTAAGTTCAATACATTAAAATCCTCCCCAAAGCACTCTAATTTACATATTAGAACTCACAAATTAATAATCATCAACATCACAATCTCTCTTCTTTTGATTCTTAATATTTGAAAATTAGGTGGAAAGAACCATATTCATCATATATTATATACTAATATAACTAATTCATATATCTATCCATTCGTGTAATTCGGGGCAATTAATTAGGCTGCTGATGGAGCAGTGTGGTAGTGAACGACACCAGCCTCCGCTGCCAAAAATGTTTGGCGGTTGACTTGTTCGTTGCCGCCATTTTCGACCTTGTAGTTGAAATCCAAGCTCTCGTCGTCGTAAATTTCCCACCATTTCTTCACGAGCATTTTTATGTCTTCCCTCTCCATGTTCTCCTCTTCTCCGGTGTACCTCCATGGCTTCGACCCCTGAAAATGGAGGGAAAAAAACCGATCAGATTCCGATTAACCGCAAACGACGTGGTTAAAATATAATGTGCATGCATGATGGATTATGTGATCATTGCAGCATACTCACAGCGGCGCAATAGTGAACCACTTTGACTTTGTCGAGCTCCACGTTCTCCGGGTGGCGCCATAGCATCGCCATCACCAAGTTGTATACTGGTGGAATTGGCCTGTATTTCTCTCTGAAGAACATGTTCAGAAAGTCCTGCCAAACAAAAATTAAAATTATTCAATTTCCTACTGATATTAAATCAAAGGTTTAAATCATATAATTGATGCTTGTTCACTGTTTTAACGAAAATAATTAAAATTAAGAATAGTCACTGTTTTTTCTAAATCATATAATTAAAAAAAATAAAAATAATTAAAATAGTCACGTATTAACAATCAAAATGAAGGGAAGGAACAAAAAAGGGTGTTATGATCTAAAACGGGAAAGTCCGAGTCGAAAGTAATATTTAAATCTAAATAGTTGTAATTTTGATGGGTACCTGTTCAGCGAAAGGGGTGGGAGGGGTGGTTTGGAGGGTGGAGAGGAGGCGGCGGTAAGTGGTCAAGTGTGGCTCGAACACGAACATGCCGGCGTTGAAGTAGAGAGGAGGCTTGGGGCCGAGGTGCGCCGCCCACTGAACCTTGTCGGGGCACTGCTGGCAGTACCCGATCTTGTACTGCGCTGTATGGCTCCATGTCTTCTCGCAGAAACAGTCCATCACTGCGTAGAAATACGAGTCCTCCATCTCGAACAGGTGGTCTATGTTTTCGAACACTTGGATGTCTCCATCCAAATATATCATCTTCTTGAAATCAACAAACTGCACACCACAAACGCACACCACTTAAACCCCTATTTGGTTTCATTTTTTATTTTCTAATACATATTATGAAATTAGTTGATCTGATAATTTGATTGTATTTGGATGTACGTACCTCCCAGATACGGAGCTTGGAGTAATTGATGACGTAGTAAGCCATGGCGAATCGTGTCTGGTTTTCGGGCGGGTGAACCGGCTCGATCTCCCGGACCACGCAGCCCTGCCACCGCAGCAACTCCCGGTGCTCCTCCGGCACGTCCGGCAGCACCGCCACTAGCAGCGGGTACTTGCTCTTCACTTTCCTCAGCCCCTTCGCCAGCCCCACCACCCCCTTCACGTAGTCCCCATTTCCGGCCAGGAACGTCACGTACCCGCGCCTCGGCGCCGCATCTCGCTCTGCCCTCACCTCCCCGGAGCTCAATTCAGGAGCCATTTCCTCGTCTGCTAAATATTGGGTTACGTTGTGTGTCTTTGTATAATGTGGTTTCTGAAACTTTGATGAGTGATGAGAGATTTAGTGGCAGAGTAGAGGGGTTTATATAGCAAAATTCTCCCACCCCAAATCCTGTTTTTCTTTGCTCTTCTTTTTGTTTTTTGACTCATTAATTTTATTTTCTCAACTGAATCGGACTCTACATCTGGCGGAGGTGGCGATCCAACGGTGCGGAAATGGAGGGTCGCGGATTTGGACGGTGAGATTATTCCCCAAAATGCCCTTTCTTTTCTGCCATGTTTCACTGGTGTGGTACGACTGTAAATAAGTTCAAAAACTAAGACTATATCTTGTTGAAAACCAACGGCTGAGATTGAACTGCATTTTGCCATGAAGCTTCCTAAGGAGACAAGGGACGGTAAAGTGGTTATTGCGAAGGAAAAAAATTGTAATTACGGTTTAACGAAATGAACCACCGCTGGCACCGACCAGCGGACGGGGGTGGGCCCACGCTAGTTCTAAAGTAGCCTATAATTGCTCCACACGAGATTTGGTGAGACAGATTTCCCGACACGTGGCGGTTTCATAAACGTCATTACCCGTCCGGTAGGGTCCACGATTATGGTTCCGGCACGTAGAAAGTCCGTGTCCACGTGGCGCTCTCGCACTAGTCAGATTTTATTTAAACCTTTTTTAAATTAATTTATTTTGAAACTCGCATTCATTCTGCATTCTAATTTTCAAAACCATTATCTGATGAATAATTAAGGAATATGAAAAATATTCAATTTATTTATTGTTTTATTTAATATGATTTAAATATTTTTTTCCTTCATTAATTGTTTTTTCTTTGAGAAAATCCTTCATGTTAGGTTTATACAGGGGTGCAAACAAAAATTACAAATTGACTAGAAAAGTGAGTGATCAGAGATATTATAGGTATATAAGAGAGGACAATTATCTCCAGTATGATACCTTTTGGGTGAAACTAAAAGGTTATGCTCAAAGCGGATAATATCATAGCATTGTGGAGATATTTGGACTACTAAGAGTACTGTTGTCGTTAACACTTCATTAATTGTTGTTGAACATGTCAGGTTGAAGGTCGACTTATTGGGCGCGCATGTTATTGGTAGGGAGACCTTCAACTTGCTAATTAGGAGTTTTCTGTCAAATATTCGACTAAGTATGAAGGTCGTTCCTGTCACAGATAGTCTTTTAGCTAGACCTTAACTGATAGGACGTTATTTATCCTCCATGTGGATGAATGCCTCCAACAATAAGAAAAAAAATGCTTTTATCTGGTTGAATTTTCAAATTTTTTTTTTTCATTTTTCAATGTCTTCTTGGTTTGATATATAAATTCTAAAATATAACCATTTTAATTCTCACAATTATCATGTCATTGAACAATGTAGCATAAGATAGGTATATTATTGGCTGAATAAAAATAATGATAAAAAATAATGTTACTTTAATAAATTTAGAAAGTATAGAGATGAAAGTTGAAAATGAAATTTATAAATAGTTTTAAAAACAAAATAGAGATGTCTTGAAAAATTATTACTACAATTTTTTAGATAATACGTAACATAGCTTTTCCATCCTCTTTAATGACACCTGCTCCTACAATATTAAATTCTATAGAAATAAAGAGAGGAATATATCCACTTGTAAAGCATACACTAGGCAGAAATCTATAAGGTACCTAGAGAGTATACATCACTTCAAATGACTCATCAATTAAAGTCCAAAATATTAATCAATATTACAATGCTGTCCATGTCTTATATTACAATGACAATTATATTTCAACATTTAAGTGCTACATGTTCTGGTCCAATTGGTTCTTTTCCCCTTCCAATTCAAAGCATATTTCAAATTTTATATTCCTTATCTATTACCTATTTTTTCATGAAAAGTAAAGATATTTAAACCCTCCACTTTTTAAATAACATTATTAATATCTCTTGTTGTTTTGTGTTCAAATTAATTACAATATTATCTATATATGAATGTAAATTATTAAATTAAACCTAAAAAAATTCAACCTTTTTATTTATAGGACTATTTAGTTTCATAATATTTAAAGATTTTCTAACTTTGCTATATAATATATATTTCATTATTCAAGGACACTCATTACTAGTTTTTTCCTCTTACCAATCTTACTCACATTATTAGTTAAGTATTGACCACCAAATCACTCTGGAATAATATAATCCATCCATAAATAAATTTTTGCTTCCTTTACACCCTAAAGAAGAAAAGAATGAATTTCTCAAAAAATAAATAAATAAAACAAAACAAAACAAAACAACGCCTTAAATTAAGGAATTGTCAAATAAAGCAAAGAGAGGTTCTTAATTACAAAAGAAAAAAGAAAAAGAGAGAAAGGGGGAGAGAGAGAATGAATAGAAATACTAGTATCATGAAATAATCCCTAATCACATGAAATTGGTCAGCTTGATCAAATTAGTCGGATTTATTGTTCTCTTGAAACGAATCCAAAAGAAGGGTTCCGAAAAGTATTGAATTAATGCTTTAACTGGTTGAGATATGTTTAAGCTTACTTTTTTTAGACGATATTGGTATTGAAATAATGTGGGTTGTTCTTCGGTTTGAGTTTGTTTCAAAATAAAATAGAGAAGCAACAAAAACCTCAGTGATTTCTCTAAACGAAGGAGGGACATATTATTGAGAAAGTTTCGCACGTCTATTTATTATTTAAGAAAAATAAAATCATTGACATAAATGGTAGAACGTACCTTAAGTTTATAGAAGATATGAAACTTAACCAAATGAAAATGTATAAATTTTGGTGTATATACCGATTTATTTTTAACTTCTCACTCATTTTTACCATTATCGTGATTCAATAGTTATTATTGTTGTTTAAAGATATTTATGATTAGCTATTTTGAGATTCTCCAAATGAACAATAAAAGGGAGAGAAGAATTATAAGGATAGAAAGTATATTTTATTTTTAAAAGAAGTAATTAATTCAACTATTTTGAAGACTAATCAGATATAAAAATTCAATCCTCTATGTTAGTACTAATAAAAGGCTAATTAAATATATCATTGAATCTTTTGAATATAATTAATGTCATTTTTCAATTTTTGTCCAATAACATGTTTCAAAGTTCAAAGTTTTGAAATAAAAAAACTCTATTCCATAAAATAATGTTGAAATTTTGAATAATGAAACGGTAGCACAATATTTAAGCGTGCATAATAATAATATATATCAAACGAAAATAATATATATATTTATTAGTATAACAAAATATGAGGGTGGGAATTTTGTTTTCTTTCGAGAGTAAAAAAGATACTACTTTATTTGAATGAATTTTTAATTCAAGCCAGACAATGTAATATTTTAAATTCGGTAGAGGTTAGCAAAAGTATTTATTTTTTCTTTGAAAATATTTCTTTTTCCTTTTAAAAAATCACTTGTTGATATACAAAATAATTTTTAAATATCTTGGTACCATTTTATTTTTTATTTGATATATTTTTTTTCTTTTTTAAATGTAGATATCAAATTTAAAAGTTTAAAATATTAGAGTTAAAATTTGAAAATGAGATGACGCTTACTTTAGGGCATAATAATATATTCTAATCTTTTAAGATAAAATTATTTTAAAATTTGACAAAAATATAACCCAATATTTAAAAATAAAGGAGAAACTTTTCTCACACTCAACCTGGATTAAAAAATTAAAAGAAAAAAAACCCCATGAAATCTTAATCTTTTTCTTTTTTAAAAGATCATGCAATCTTAATCTAATACTTTAGAATAATCTAATAATATAATATAATATCAATGTCGGTTGGTCAAAAAGAGGCTCATAAGAATTTTACTTTCACCGATACATATATTTTTCTTAAAGGTCCATATTTCTCCTCAATCAAAACAAAAATATAAGAAAGACATCACAAGATTTATTATGGACACAATTTTTAGCAGTTAAAATCCAATCTTGGTATAAAAAAGATTATTCAATTTTTATTCATAAATTTTAAAAATATCTAACTTAGTCTTACTCGGTGAATGATATTTCAAAATATTTATTTCGATTCTTTACCTCAACAAAAAATGGTAAAATCCAACTTGTGAGTTAAGTGTTTATTTTGGTTTTCAAAATTTTAAAAAGGGCAGTTAAGCCTTTGAGGTTTAAAAAATAGCTATAAATAAGTTATTAGACGGTTAATTTACTGATAGGCATATAATAGGATAGTTAACTTGCTAATTAGATTTAGTAACATAAATTTGTTATATGCGATGCCATGTTATATTCAGCAGTAAATGATATTTACTCATCTTTTTAAAGTTTGAGGTTCAAATTTTTGTACTTCAACATATAGGGATCGAACTCACAACCTTTGTTTGAAGATATATGTCAATTACTGTTGAACTATATTCATTTTGGCACATCAATTGAATCAATAGAGTAAATATTAGTTGGTAAAATAATAACAATAACAAAAATGATAAATTTATATAAATTTAAAAATTAAATAAGATCTTTTAAAAGCGTGTGAATCACAGTAGAATAATTCTCAAAATCTCTTTAAACTAATCGCAAATCTTGCATTAAATTACCAAATACACTTAACTTTATTAAATTTTAAAATTCCATTTAGGTTGGAATTTGGATTCAAACCGACCAAACTTTTAACATTGGATAAGGTTGTTGGATATTGGTGTGTGTCTTTTAGCAGGAAAAAGAAGAGCAGTTTCTTCCAACTTTTTGGAGGGTAACTAACATACCTAACCCAACTGTATTCTGCCATTTGGCCCCTTCAATATTATTATACTTTTTTCTCTTCCTTTTCAAAATATTCTTATTATATGCTTTTCCATATTGACTAAATCTATTTAACTTAGCCAATTATATCAAATCCAATCTTAAATCATCAACCTGAATATAACTTAACTGATTAAAGTATAAATCTTCGACCACAAGGTCGTAAATTCGAATTCTCATTCTCATATCTTGTACTAAAAAACCTATCTTAAATCTACCATTTCATTAATATCTAAACCAACACGTTAATTTTGATGTTTGAATCTAAACATGAATTTTCTTCCCTAATTTTCTTTTTTTACTATCCAAACTTTACGAGCTGTATCAATTTTTACTTAAAATTTTTAATTTCATCAAACTAAACTCTCGATTTAAATAAGTGTTTTGCAATTTTTACAACCTATTCAATTCAGGCTAATTCACCCATTCATTTTGAAAAAAAATTACCGAAAAATTCACTAATTTAATGAAAATAGTCCACTATTAAATAACTTTGTCAAAATTTACAAATTTTAAAAAAATCTAATTTTAGTATTATTTTTGTATGAATCCTACAAATTTCATACCAAATATATGATTTTATAATTTATTTGACACATGTGAGAATATATTTTTCATCAAATTTTCAGACGAAAAAACTATGATAAGGGTTGCAACACTTATTAATAAGTTTGAAGTACATTGGGGTAAAAGATATTGATACACCCCATCAAGGTTAGGGTTGTTTTCCCTAATTTTATTTCTATTTCTACAAAATTAAACTTATTTCTTGGCGATTCTTTTAGGTTTTTTTTTTTTCTAATTGATAATTACTGTCTTAGTTTTTATAATTTTATTATAGTTTTAAAATGTTTGCATAAAACAAAGAAATTTAAATCATAGAAGCAAAAATTTATTAAATTAAAAAAATGTCATCAAACCAGAACAAAAATAAGCAAAACGGGAGAATCCTTAGAATTCGGAGCGAGTTTGATGTGATTAAAAGCTAGAGAGAAAGAAAACAGATGAACATATTCTAGAAAAAAAAATGGCATAATTTATACTGCATTTCCAGATGATTAACGTCCTCTAATGAATTGACAAGAGCTAGTACTGGTGCTTCTCTAAATTGCTTGCCATTTGAAGAAACTAGAGCCAAAACATAAACAAATCTCCATGAATACATACATATTAACATTCCTAAATTGATTTCTCAACCCGGGATCGGAATTAACCCCTGGAGATCGGGCGGGAAATGGATTAAAACAGCCACGAAAAAAACAAAGAAGAATCATGCCTCAAGCTTGAAGAACCAGGCTCTTGCCAAGGATTATGTCATCTGTGGAGAAATCAGCCTCTTTCCTGAATGTGCCTCTGCCAAAGTCCAAGTTGTAGGAGTCTGCAAGACCTTCCACCAGGTCGAATTCGGGCTCCCACCCGAGCACGCTCTTCGCTTTCTCAATCGATGCAAAGAAATGCTGCATTACATTTATAACAATAATAACAATGGTGCCATGTCAGTGATCAGAATCCGATAAGCTGCATCATACTTATCCTGACATCAACCAAATTACCTGATCACGGAAGGGGAATGGCTTCTTTTTGCCAAAGTCAAACTCCTTCGGGTTGTAGTGAACGATCTCGGGCTCGGGAAAGCCTCCAGCCTGTGAAGTTTGTGACAGAAGAAGATTGGTCAATTCAGATATCAGCTCGACGATGAATATCATGACGATGTGACGTTGTGATTATGTCTTTTAAGGAAGTACCTTTGCACAAGCTTTTGCTAACCCATCAAATGTGACATATTTGTCACCCGAGATATTGAACACTTGCTGGCTTGCTTTTTCATTACCTAGAACCTGAACAAAAGCCTTTGCCAAATCCTGCAGTTGTCAAAAAATGGTCGATTATTTGCTCGGGCTCGATCGTCACATTAACATAAAGAAATGTTTGAAACTATAATCCTTTTAATAAACTATTCACATTAAGGAACTGAATGATTTCTAATTATAGGATCTGTGTGGACTCACAGCCTACAACAGACTCAACAGTGTGTTCCCATTGCATAAATAGTACACAACAGCACGGACCTTGACGTGACCGAGTTGTGTAATTTGGATGCCTGAGTTGGGGACTGGAATGGGGCGACCCGCCTTCAACCGGTGGAAGAACCATTCTTCCACAGGATTGTAATTCAATGGTCCATAGATGTAGACGGGTCTTATAGAAGTCCAATTAACACCCTTTGATGCCAGTAAGCTCTCTGTCTCGAGCTTTCCCTTGTGCCTACTCTTAGGATCAACTGCATCGACCTACGACAAGGCATCCAATCGGAAAACAGTAACAATATGAAAGAGAAGTGGAGATCGGGACTCGGATGAACTACTCATTTAGTGTTTGACAAACAAAGTAAACTGAAAGATTTTCTTTATAAGGAAAGAAAAGGTACCTCAAAGTGAGGTGGTAGATCAGTCTTGAGATAGACACCAGCTGAAGAGCAGTATATAAACCTGAGAATAATTAGATGTATCACATTTCAACCATGCAAAATCTATTATCTCTTTCATCGTGCTAAGTTTTGTTAATAAGTATCGTGACTAACATATGTGACTAACATATCTACCCAACTAATCTCACGGATCAACTATTTGACATTGACTCTATAACATTTGAGTTTGAAAAACTATATTTAGTATCTTATGTAGATCATCAACCATGATTTAAACCCATGACTTCGAAACACCTAAATCTACCATGGTATTTTGGAACTAAATCATTGAAAAAATTAACAATATCGGTAATGTTTCTGAATTGAAATTTAGAAATCTGGTTATTATCAACACAACAAAGTCGACAGTTTAACCCCGAATCACCTGCACAATGTATGCTGTCAGAGTGCCAAAATCCTTTTGTACATCAAAATTTTTCATCTAGCATTAGAAAACTTGATGCAAATGCCTAGCACCAATTAATGTGAAAGGAAAGAAGATTTAGTTTGGAAATCTTACTGCTCTAGCTTGGGCAATGCATCTATGATCGGCTCAACTTCAACTGCTTCTCGCCCTGAAAATCATGCAGCGAAACATAAACCGGAAGAAGGGATTACATAAAATGGTTTTAAAATGAGTTCAGGCCAAGAATTTCAAACCAAAAGAGATTGTTTCGAATCATACTCACCGTTTATGTCATATACAACATCAAACCCTGCAGCCGAGAGACTGGATTTAACAAAGTCAAAGTCTTGTCTGTCTCCCTTCAAATGCAGAATCTGGGAAATGTGCATCAATAGACAATAGACAGACTTATCATCAGTAGTCCCACAAATCCACAAGTAATAAGATCGAATAAAACCATGAATGATGAAATCACATCTCTTTTCAACCAGAGCTGCCATATTTGAAGGCTTAAATGGAAGCTTATAAGACCTTGGAGGAAAATTCAGCATAATCTGCATCCGACTCGCCCGGTAATTGCTGCGTAACGGGTGCTTTGCCTCTTGTAAACAAAGTTACCTGCCCAAAGTAACGTGTTCTATAAATCTTCCTGACAATTCAGTTCAGGTGATAAGGAATCTGGAGCAAGCAAAGCAAGAGGCAGGAGAATGGCAAAACCTGATGACCCTCTTTGACAAGAAGTCTAGACAAGAACACACCAATGAAACGGGTGCCGCCCATTATAAGGATATTCTTCTTGGCACTTGCTGTAACATGTAATGCTCCTTTTGGCTGCATAACCTTCTTCTTATACTGCAATCCAAATCAAATACAGTTAATAATATATATAAAAGATTAAATATACTATAATCTATTCACTCATGCTTTTAAGTTTCGTTTAGTTTATTTAATGGGGAGCCATTTCGTTGTTGGGTTTCCTAAATCGAATCCTATCCGATTGATATTAATAGTTTACTCCATGAACAAGACCACCAAATGTTAAGAGTATTTATAAAAAGATTAAATATCCCATAACGCATAGACTTAAGCTTGTTCACTTAAGGTACTTTAATGTGAAATCAGAACAAAAGGTCCTGTGTTCAAACCTTACGGTGTCATTTGCCCATTAATATTGATATTAATAGCTTACATGTCGATCAAATCCTATGTTGGTTTTACGAATCAAATTAATATTCGAGTTGTCATGGTGCATATCCTCTCTTTTAAGCATTTGTGTTAAGTGACAAACTACAAATGAAGTCAAGCAAATGAGAGGGGAAAGAAAACTTGGGAATTGCAGTGGCCATTTTTGGGGGAACCCAAATCAATTTTCACTGATTTTGGGGGTCTCACAGTGAAGCCGTCCATCCAACGATTTCCAGTTTCAACAAAAATTCCAAAGTAAAGAATGGGTACCCAGAACAGAAAATAGAGAGGGAGAAGAGAGGGACCTGAAGTTGAGAGTGGAGTCTGGCGCCATTGAAGTCGGAAAAAGAAGAAGGAAGAAGAGAGAATGAAGGCAATTTTTGTTGGTGTGCAGCGATTGGCTTGGCCATGATGCCCATTTGGAGAAACCCTTTGCTTCTTCGTGTCTGGTGGTGGGATTGAGCCTTGAGGGGCAATGGAATTTGAAGGGCATGGCTTGTGTTTCTCTGGCTGGCTTTCGTTCTAATGTTGGGGATAAGACAATGATTTGCCTCCGCCTCTCATTCAGTTGTTCTCGGTCTCAAAAATTCGAATTTAAAACCAAGAAACCAAAAATCAAGAAGAAATAAAATTACAAGAGCTACCGCTACTCAATGGCCAGTAATCACCATCAGCAGCAACGACCAAACCGTGCTCTCTTTCTTTCTGTAGTTTTCCTTCTTTTGGATTACAAATTTAGTGTCAAAGTTTTCACTTACCTTACTTTAAAAGGTTTTGAATGAGTATTCAATTTTTAGTTAAGAGCATATATCATTTGAACATCGATATATAATATGGTTGTGCATTTAAAGAACGGTCTTGTTTGTTGGTCATATAAATCAATATATAGTCTGACATGGGCTTCTCGATAGTGGTTTCATAAATTATCTCATGCATTGTTGAATTTTTGGGTTTTGTCAATCCAAGTCCATTATTTTTTGTTTGTTCAAGGTTCTATGAATTTTTTCATTGTTTTAGTGGTATATATGCGGATTATACTTCTTCTCAAGATATTAATAATGTGAAAGTTCTCTTGCATCCTACCTTTAAAATGAAAGATTTAGGTTTATTTGAGTGTACTTGTTGGGTCTCGAGTTAGTTATATATTTTAAGGGCATATTTCTTGGAGGCACTGCACTTTGCAATTACGTGATGATTCAAATTTTCTTGCTTGTAAACATTCTAAATTGCCTATAGATCCAAGTGTTAAACTGCAGGCTTCTATCAATTTCTCATTGGACGGTCCAACAACTTATCGATCGCATAAAACACCAACTTTAGTATTTTGTGACTATCAGATGCTATACATATCGACACAAATCATATGTTTATGAAAGTACATCGAGCTCCATTGTCATTTTGTATGAGATAAATTGATCACTGGAATTATCAAACTATTACCCATTCATACTCATATTCAACTCAGTGACATCTTTACCAAGTCTTTTCTCTTCAATTATTTTACATATTTATTGTCTAAGATGGACGTAAAAATATTTTAATCCCATCTTGAAGGAGAATATTTAAACTTAACAACGAGTTACCGCTCTTAGTTTGTTAGTTTGTTTGATGGTTAAAATTTAGTTTAGTTAATTCTATTTGTAATAAGTGTCACTTCTATATACTTCTCCACGTGTAAGAACAATTTCTTTCCGGACTATTTATATTTGGCAATTAAGTATTTTTTCTTTCTAACACAACAAGGAATGTGAATGGTTTAGGATCCTCCTAGCTTGTTTCACAAGGTTCTTTTATTTTTGCCAATAAAATTGGTGAGTTTTTAGGAAATTTCTATGGCATAGTTAGATTTAATGAAATTGAAAATTTAGTGTAAAAATTCAAAGATTCCTTTAACAAAAATTGAATTTTTAGAAAAAGTTTTGGTTAAAATAATACCTTTGATTCCTATATAATCCATATAGTTTAAATTTTGGTAACAATTTAGTTCATCACCTTTAAGGACCGTTTATTTCGTGGAAATCTAAGATTTTCGTGAGACGGGTATCTGGATTCTCACGTTTGTTTTGCAGTAATGTAAGATTCCCGAGTATCTCGAGATGTCCGGAATATCCTACGATGCCCATGAGAGACATCTTACGAGTTTTGGATGTTCTTTTGAAACACGGGTTTCCAAGATTCTCGTGTTGAGGGCATCTACTTTTTATATTTTGCCCCCTATTTTTTTCTCCTTATATTTTCTTTCTTCAATTTTTTTTAAAATTTTTTTCCTAAAAAATTTATTTATTTTTATTTTTAAATTTATAATTAAAATAAAGTAATATACTCCTGCTTTAATAAATAACTTTATGCTATTAATTATACTTGTACATTAGATTTACATGTAAAATAAACTACAATTAAATTATATGATATATCAATTTATTTTTAATATTGTGAAGGAATTACATTATTAATAATATTTATTATCATAAATATATAATTGTAAAACAACATTTTTTACAGCATATTTTTCTTCTAAAAAACAAATAATGTGATGATAAGATAAATAAATTTTACCCAAGATAACATAAATTATATAATTGTCATTTTGGAAAACCATTATAGTTGAGAAACTTATATTAAATTAATAATGAATTAATTTGTTCTATAAGATAATATATAAAAAATAAAACTATTAAATTAATCCAAATAAATCTATTATGTTAAATGAATTTATAAATTATATAAATATTTGTGTGGACATTTTTGGAACATTCTATAAATTTAATACATTCCTAATAATAAATCGTGCAAAACAAACGTGGTTATCCAAATATTTTCGGATATCTTTAAAAATATTCCTATGAAACAAACGTGGTTCCGGGCATTTGACGATCATCTACATTCCCGAAAAACAAACAACACTTCAATATTTAACAATTTATTTTTTTCGAAAATGATAACAATTTAATTTTTGTAGGTTTGAGTTTGTAACTACTTAGTTTCTATCCTGATTTTTTCTTGTTAGATTTCTTATATATATAGATTGATGAACGATGAAAAAATCAAATTTGTTCATAAATTATAAAGATTAAATCATGATATAATAAAAATCGACTCTTAAATTTTTATGTAAGGACTAAATTGTCTGTTAAAATTCAATAACTAAATTGTTACCAAAGAGACTCAATCGCTCTTAAACAAAGTTCATGAAATAAACGTTAATTTAACAAGGATCAAATTTGTTTTTTGACATCTTCAAAAAAAATAAAAATTTGTTTTTTAACAATTTTTTTTTCTGAATGCTTATTTAGAGAAATTTAAAAGTATGACTTAAGAAATTAAAAAATAAGAAAAAAAAGTCGTGGAAATGAAAACTGAATCGAACGTCAAATAAAAATAAAATTAGGCATTGAAATATTTTTCTTTGGTAGAATTTCCCTCGGCGAGCGCAGAGCGACGGAGGGAGTGGCGTTTTCTCTTCATTTCTGCATCTTGAAGGGGAATTCAGCTCATACCCCCTAAATACTTTCTGCAGTATCTCTTCAATTTCTCGATCATGGATCCGAACCAGGTAAATTTGACTAGGTTCAACTTTTGTGAGACTTTCCCCATCTTTAATTTCTTGAATTGTCATCTTTACGTGCCTACAAATGTTGTTAATCTTCTGTCTATGGCGTTTTCCCCTCCTTGGGCTTGTTGGATGTTAGATCCAATCTGAATCTTTCCGCTTCTTTGCCTTGTTTTACTGGGGATACAATGGTGGTTAGTTTTTTTGGTTGCTGAGTTGATTGCGAGGACCGACGGTAGGAATGTCAAATGGAAGTTAATGTTTAATCCTGTTAGATCTGAGCTGACGACGGGTAGATTATGGAGGATTTTTAAATGATCATTGGTTGAATTATACCTCGCTGAATGAAATGAAAATCTTCCCGCATTTCATTTGACTACTAGTTTTTGATGCACGATGTATGAAATCAGGGTTCCATTGGCCTTCCAGATTTGGAAGGCTTTTATTGAGTCATTACTGCCTTTCGACTCATATGATCCTTCTCTTACGTGCAGCCACCTGTGGAAAATTATGCCAACCCGAAGACTTGTTTCTTTCATGTTCTTTTTAAGGTACGGTTATGTAACTATGATATTAATAGACTTCATATGTAAATGACCTGAGCTTCCTGCGATTCTTATGATCGTGGTTCTGTTTGACAGGCTGGAGCATTGGCTTTTTACATACTTTCCTCTCTCTTTTTCAATAGTTTTGTTATCATTTTCGTGGTGACTGTTTTCCTTGCTGCTCTCGATTTTTGGGTGGTAAAGAATGTGAGTGGGCGTATTCTGGTTGGTTTGAGGTGGTGGAATGAAATAAATGATCTGGGTGAGAGTGTATGGAAATTTGAAAGCCTTGATCAAGAGGTGAGTGCTCAGTTTTTGCATTTTCAGAACTTGCTTCTCCTTTATATTACCAGGATAGCCATTGAATAGCTATTTCTCCCTTCTAATGCACATGGATCCTTGGTTATGCTCTAGTCATTGTCTCGGATGAACAAGAAAGATTCCTGGCTATTCTGGTGGACCTTGTACCTTACGGTAAGAAAATATTGTGATCCCAAATATAGTTATCATGTAAATTTGCACTAATTTATTAACTAAGCTTGATGGTGTTGATACATAAACTTTATCATACATATTTGAACGAGTAGCAGCAGGTATGATACTAGAAACAGAACGATGATCTATTAGTTGGAGTTTAGATGCATGTCTAAATCTGGCCAGGAACTTTGATTTTTTTCTTCCATCTTTCTTTTGTTAGGGGCAGGGTGCCACAATGTGGCTGCCCCAATAACCGTCAGATGCAAATTTGAAATCTGTATGCCCCTAACTATTGCATATAGATTCAAAATACATTTTGTAAATTTTCTCTCATACATTTAATGGTGTAAAACTACATTGTGACAGTCTCTTTCAATAATTTCTTATGTATTTTTAAGAAAAACGCTTTTTCAAATAATTTTTTTATTTTCAAGTAGATCATGGGTATTGGTTATTATACACCTAAAAGATGCTAAACCTTGCTAAAGGGTGCAAAATATTTTACTAGCATTTTTTTTCCTTGACGGTAACTTGCAAAAAGATTTTGTTATTAGAATATCAGGTCATGTTTTTAAGAACTGACGCTCAAACTAACAGTAGTTGTTTAACTAATAAATATTCACCAGGCATCTTATTTGCTTAATGGATTTAAAAAAATCCGAATTGAAGAAAAAGAAGTCAGAATTTTGTAATAATTTTGTAATTGTTCATGAGTGAATTGGAAACTTTATAGCATATAATGAAATTAATAATAACGTACCAAAAGTTCACATTATTATCAACTACTTTTCTGATTTAGTTGATCTTAAAAGGTTACATTTATTTAAAGAAGCAAATTTAATGGTTAAACTATAATTATAATTTATGATCTTGATCTAATAATTTAGTTACTTAGCTTAAGAATTGATAGATTTGGTAATCCTATTGCTCTTGGTATCCCCATTTCTAATGATTCCCTTGTCTCTCTTCACACACACAAAAAAAAAAAAAAAAGGATTTGAGCAAATGAAGTAAGGCCATCACTTTAAAGGTCACAAAACCTTTTATGCGTTATGCCGTGTAGGATCTTTATGTGTTTCCATTTTGAAGCTAATGTATGTAAAAACTAAAAATTAAGTAAAAAATAAAAAGAAAGAAAGAAGAAAAAGGAAGGCTGGTTCTGACTCTGTACAGGTGGATGAACATATTCATACTTGGGTTCTTGGACTGTGATGTGATGACCCCGCTGGTTATAGTTGGTCCAATAATAGGATTGTCAGCATAATTTAAATGATTATGATATTTAATATTCACGTATAGTTGTTCATGCTTCTGAACTGGTGAATAACAGGCAGCTGCATGGACTGTGCTGGGAATATTCTCGTTGATAAAGTTTCAAGCTGATTATCTCCTTGTCGTAGGAGTTTGTTTGACTTTGAGCGTTGCGAACATTATTGGCTTTACAAAATGTCGTAAAGGTAAACAATAAGTTCCTCGAGGTACAAAATTCCAATAGTGTTCTTACAAGCATTGCAAAGCCTGATTTATTGTTTCTTGTATTCTCCCTATTGGTAATAACTTCTGGATTCTTTTCCATGAAAAAATTTCTGAATTCTTTTGAAGGTCTTGGAAATTTATTTTATAAAATTAATATTCCATTGTAAGACCCTGCCTGCTGTTTATTCGGTGTTTTAATTTTCAATTAGTTAGAATATATTGAGTTCATTAAGGACTTGATGCTTAAATCTTGGCCCTGGAAAGGATATTTACTGTAACCTTTGCGAGAAGATAGATATCTCTGATTCTCTGTTATGTTTTTGTATTATTCTGACCTCTATGCTTGTTGTGGATCATAGTAACTTGTAGCCCTCTTACACAGACAAATACACAATGCATACTGATTCAAATAGTTCTTATATATATGGTTGGAGCCTAATTCACAGATGCATTAATTTCTTCAATGATCCCTTAAAAATTATTTTTTTTCTTCCAGGAAACAAGTTTCACTGATAGAATGAAATATGTAAAATGAGGTAAGGTCTCATCAAGTCAAAAGAGTGATCGAAATACAACAAATTTGATAGTTTTGAAGATTTTTGACAAGGAACTCCATGAGGAAGCCACAAAAATAGTAAAATCCTGTGAATCCCCAAAGAGTTCTCTTGTAGGCCTGGGAATAATCTTCTACATCTCTAAGTCCAAACACTTCCCTCAAAATAGCCAAAAATCCCATGAAGCCACAGATTTTCTTTCATCCTTGAGCATAATACCACCCAAAAGATGAACAATGGCTCCTTGACGCTTCTCAGCATGATAGCTTGAAGTTTATAAATGTCAAAAGACCTCCACCATAACTTCAAACCAAAAGAGCAACCCATGAAAACATGATACTTTGGCGAAGAATGAAAGTCATGTCTGTGTGCACAAATAAGATAACAAAAGTCTTTCTTTTTCTTTCAAGTTATCATCACCCTTTTTCTAACAATTTCAGAAGGATATCCATAATAGGGGCAATTTTTTACTTCAGTATCCAGCAGTCTCCTCGGTCTCCTAAAATAGATAGAAGCAATTTGAATATAAAAATCAAATACCCTTCTGGATGTGCATTCGCTTTTGTTTATTTATGCATGTTATTGCTTTTGATGATTGTGGGTGTCTGGGCTAGCTCATGTGCCCCTTGATTAATTCTGTTAGGTCATTTCGGTTGTATCCTTTCTTGGGTTGTTGTTTTGCATGCTTTTTTACTTCTTTCATTTTTCTCAAAAATTCAAAATTTTGATTAAAACTTTAGTGGTCACCATGATTTGGACCTGTGGTCTCAAAGTTGCCTGCTTGAGAAAGGAAGCAAGGCACCCAAACTGATGAGTTATTTCTGCTGGACATGTGAAATTGCACCCAGCTCCACCCTCCCTTTTCTTCTCTACACTTTACTTTTAAGAGTGATTAGGCTTGAAGATATTGCCATTAGGGCTCATGTTGTTACTAACAGTAACAGTCATTATACAATCTTCCTATGGTGGCTGGCTCAAATTTTTGTAATTTGTATTCTACTTTTCAGATGCCAAGAAGCAGTTGCAACAATTTGCAACCCAGACCATTGCGTCTCAGTTCTCCTCTACATTACAATCAGCTTTTAGTGTTGTTTGAGGCATCCGTAGCATGTGAAAGCAGATGGAAGAAATTAATGCAGTGGCACAAGAGAGATGATATGATGTGATGTGATGTTGAGCAGCTGCTCTCAAGGCATGTAAATGTGCATTATTTTAGTAGGCCTTACTGAATCGGATTGGGTTCCTTCTGAACTTTTTTTTGGATATAAAAAAGAAAGAAAGAGATTGAATAATTTTGTACAACTTCCTTTTTCCATTGATTTGTATTGTGAAAATCCAATGAAATTAATCATAGAAAAACATTAATTTTGCTATATCCAAGCAGTTCTTCTAGGCACCTGCAATGGAAGAACCATTTATATGCTTGCTTCATCATCATGCTCAAATGCTGTCAGTAATGGTAGGGGGATAGCTTTTTTTATTCATCAGTAAGTGGCATGTTTTTTATGACACCAATTTTATATTAATAAATTTTAACATTATTTTTTTTATATCAAAAAATTTAATAGATAATTTTTAATACATCAAACGCAAAATAAAAAAATTTTAAAAGATTAAAGATGAAGTTGAGAATTACTCAAATAAATTAGGACTTTTTGACATAGTTTGGAAGTTTTTCAAGCAAGAGAAAGGAAGAAAAAAAAACAATTCTAATACCTTTGTGCTCAAACTCTCTAATAGGTTTTTGTTGAAAATCTCTCCCAAATATTATCACGTGTCCAATGAATTATAAAATATATATTTAGTGTCAATTCTCTAGGAAATTCGAACTCATGCCCGTTATTTAACGGTGAATTTTATATATTAATCAAATTTAATTTAATTTGATGGAAAATTTGATTTTATGAGTTTTTAGAATGTTTTATATTATATTTTGGCAAAAACTAATGGATAAATTAAAAAAATTGCATAGAGGGTAAATATTATAATACTTACCTAAATTTCGGATTTGGGTTGAATCGGATGAAATGGTAAGTTAAATAAAAATTGATAAAATACAAGTTGTGAAGTTGCATTTGTGGGTGCAAAATGTTCTTTTTTTTTTCTTCGAAGAAAAACACAACTCCTTCCTCTGCTCCGTAGTTCATCAGTCAATCTCAATCATCATTCGATTGTTGGCAGATTCTGCGCTAAAACCTCATTTCCCATCTTCATACTCCGAGTGAGAGATGTTGCAATGCATATTTCTGCTATCCGATTCAGGGTAAGACATTCAATCCTTTGATTACCTTCAACCAGTAGTAGATCATCCCGATATTCAATTTTAGCTCTGCCCATCAATTCTGCGTTCGAATTGAAATGCTTTACACTTTCTGATCTTTTACTCCTGGATTTCGCAGAGAGATTATATTGGAGAAACAGCTCACTGGGCATCGTGTCGACCGATCTATATGTGCCTGGTTCTGGGAGCAATCCCTATCTCAAGGTGATTCCTTCAAGGTACCTTCAGACTTGATTTTTTTGTGAATTCTTTTGTTCTTTCAGTTTTACATTTTGATATCTGGAGACTGGATCTTTTATTTTCAAGTACTGTTCAAAGTTAAGCTGTGGCAGTGGGCTTATTTGAAACTTCGTTTTCTAGTAATTCATGGGAGATATAGTGGTTTTTTATGCTCGTGGCGTGATTTCCATTCTATGTTTTTTCATTTATTTTTAGCTGCAGCCAGTAATTGCTTCTCCAACACATTATCTTTTCCAAATTGTTCGCGAGGGGATCACTTTCTTGGCCTGCACCCAAGTTGAAATGCCACCTCTAATGGGAATTGAGGTAAATTTCTTATGTAGTAGAATGAGCAAGAAATGAGGTTGACTATTAGAGTCCTTAACTTTTGATCCTTAGTTTCTCTGCAGAGTGGCTGATGTTCTCACAGATTATCTTGGGGAGTTAAATGAAGATTTGATCAAGGATAACTTTGTCATTGCATATGAGGTACCCTCCCCTATCCCATATCCCCATGCTGATTTTGATTTAAGAAGAAATTGCGTGTTTCAATTTGTTCTCTGTTGATGTAAGTTCTGAGTAACTTTCAAACAGGTCTGCGTGTATCATTTTTTTTTCCTTAAGAAAAGAGCTTTCATTGAGCAAGATGAAAGAATATACTAGGGCCTCCTACAAAAAAGAAAAAAAAAAGCTCGACAAAAGGAAGCCAAACTAGAGAAAGGGGCCAAGCTTTTGGGTCATAAAAGGCTAGTAAGAATTGTTAAAAGAATGCGAATAAAAGATTGAACTGTAACCTATAAGTCTAAGTTTTTTGGTCTAGTGGTAGTTTAACATGATATCATGTTAGCAAGGCTGTATTCGAACTCCTATATTTTATCTCCTATTAATGTTGATAGTCACTTGTTGGATCTTAATTTCCAACCCTATTAGTGAGAAGAGTATTAAGAATATCAATAAAAGATTAAAATATTCTAACCTATTAGCTTAGGTCCGTTTGGTAACCATTTCGTTTTTTGTTTTCTGTTTTTAAAAATTGTACTTGATTTCTTACCATTTCTTTACTAGGTTTTTCACCTTCCCTGAAAAACACATGAATTTTTAGCCAAATTCAAAAAATAAAAACAAGTTTTTGATAACTACTTTTTTATTTTAAAAAATTGACATAGATTTTGAAAACGTTTTTAAAAAAATAATAATAACAATTCAAAGAAACACATAGCTGGAAGTAGCTGGAAGTAGTGTTTCTTGACTTAATTCTTAAAAATAGAAAACAAAAAATGAAATGGTTATCAAATGAGATCTTTAGTGTTTTGGATTCAGTGGTGGTTTAACAGATGAAACTAATATACATATTAGTTGTTACTCGTTAGGCATATTTCCAGCAGGCCTCTCTCTATCCTTTTTTTAGATGCAGTCTTTCTCTGGTCATGGATATCCATTTTAATATTCTTGCCTGTACAAAAGAAAAAAGTGGATGTTATTTGGGTATTTCTCGGATATTCTTCTGTTCTTTTATCGATCTTTCATTTTGAATTGATAATTTAATTTGGCTATACATAAAAGTAATTGTTTGTCCATTGCAACTTGTAGCTTCTGGATGAGATGATAGACAATGGCTTCCCCCTCACTACAGAACCTAACATCCTGAGAGAAATCATAGCTCCACCGAATCTTGTCAGTAAAGTATTGAGTGTTGTGACTGGTAACAGTTCTAATGTGAGCGACACCCTTCCGGGTGCAATTGCATCTCATGTTCCATGGAGAACAACAGATCCAAAATATGCTAAAAATGAAGTTAACGTTGATCTTGTGGAAGAGATGGATGCAATTCTAAACAGGTCCTCAAAGCTTGTCTTTAGTTTTCATTTACATAATAAATATCTGTAGTTATTCCATCCAGGAATTATACTTTTACCACCTAAACTAAAATTTGTTATTTTGAGAAATTTTAGTTTGATTTCTGACTCATATAGTACACAAAATTTAGTGATCTTTAATATGTACACCTTTGACCAATGCAGTTCAATAAAAGTTCTAATGAATAATAAGTGCATGACAATAGTAGACTGTTTTATTCAATCTTGCTGTTGAACTGTGATGCTCAGGGATGGCCACTTGGTCAAGTGTGAAATTTATGGTGAGGTCCAAGTAAATTCTCATCTATCAGGTCTCCCTGATTTGACTCTTTCATTTACAAACCCTTCTATCCTTGATGATGTGAGATTCCACCCATGTGTTCGGTTTCGCCCATGGGAGTCCCATCAGATCCTGTCATTCGTGCCTCCTGATGGACAGTTTAAGCTCATGAGTTACAGGTATATTTGACTTAAAGAATGTCTTTCCTATATTTTAACTTCTTAAATTGAAGTGCTTCTGTCTTGAGATGGGGGATATAGATACTTTCTAAATCTACTTTTCCAGTACTTTAGATGTCAATTATTAGGATTCCATCCCTCTTTACCAAATCAATTTCACTTCCATTCAGGGTTAGAAAGTTGAAGAATACTCCTATATATGTAAAGCCTCAGTTTACCTCAGATGCAGGAACATGTCGCATCAGTGTGTTAGTAGGAACTCGAAATGATCCTGGAAAGCCAATCGACTCAATAGACGTGCAGTTTCAATTGCCCTCATGCGTTTTATCTGCTGACCTAACTTCAAATTATGGAACAGTGAACATCCTATCTAATAAGGTAACAGCTGCATCACTTTGTATTCAGAAAAATGTTATATTTAGTTAAATTGAAGAAAAGGAGTTATATCAACTAGTAAAAGATATAAGCAGGTTTCTTCTCTTGGTTGATTGGGCTAAAAAAAAGTCCAAATTGTTGACTTAAGTATAGCCGATTAAAGCATACATTATCAACCGTAAGATCAGAGTTTTTAATCCCCATCCCAAATGTTTAAAGAAAAAAAAGTGTCCAAATTTATGATTTTGAGCTGATTTAAGATGTTTATGTACTTCTGGAGAAAGTGACACAGTAAATCCCCCCTCTCCCCCTCTCCCCCTCTTTGTCTTAATGAGTCGATTTGGTTTCTGAATTGTTGTTTCTTTGGGGATACTTTATTCTTTTCCTTTTGTTCTTTCATAATCTACTAATCATCAATAAAGTTTCGTTTCTGATAAAAGATAAAAAGGATGGAATTCTGTAATTTCTTGTGAACTTGTTTCTACAGATCTGCTCTTGGACAATTGGAAAGATGCCAAAAGATAAAACCCCATCAATGTCTGGAACATTAACACTTGAGACAGGGTTACAACAGCTTCATGTATTTCCAACATTTCAAGTGCGTTTTAAGATTATGGGCATCGTCCTCTCTGGCCTGCAAGTAGATAAACTTGATGTGAAGAACCTACCAAACCATCCTTACAAAGGCTTTCGAGCTCTCACACGAGCAGGGAAGTTCGAAGTCCGGTCATAAGCTATTGTGATGAATTTTCTGTTAAAACTTGTGAACCGAAGCATGATCTGATGAACGATGAAAGAAGTGTAGCAGACCAGAAAAACCTCCCCTGTTGTAAAGTTTGTCTAAATGATGCATTTTGGTAGCTCAGAAGTGATTCCTGTTTCAGTGAAATTGATAGTGTCGATCTTTGGTTCCCTTTTCTTATCAAGGAATGAAGAAATGTTAAATTAGTGAGACAGGGATTCGACAATATCAAATTGTACAATTCAATAGCAATTTGATTTGGTGATACGAAGTACAATGTTTCAGCTATTACATCTGAAAACAAAAGCCTCAGTTGCCACAATCCTTTTTGTGTTTCTTCACTTCATGCATTCACTCTGTTGACTCTGAAAGAATCCATAACCTGACGCAGCTCATTTTCCTCTTCTACAAACACATTTTCTGGGGTTTGTAATCTCAGCTCGTATAGCCGACTGTTTTCGACTCCAAGAACCGAAAGATATCTTCGGTCCCATTCCAAACGAACCACCCGATCCTGCGGCATTACTGCCAGTTCATTGCTGTTTGCATATGACTTTATGTTTACCTGATACCCACATCATAATTGCAAGATTAGAGATTGTAGAGATAAAAAAAAAGCCAATCAACATGTTAACTTCTAACTTAGGGGTCAGTTCCATCCAGAGTTGCAGAGAAAAATGAAACAATTTGAGTTCTTCACCAAAATGGACCAAAACCAAGCAAGTGGAAGAAGAATTAAACCAGGAAACTTGTGTGTGCATTGATTACCTCAACTTGGTAGTAAGTTTTGCCATCGTCCGCCGTTCTGGAAGAAGTAGAAAGAACGTTGGATTCCCTTCTGACCCCAAGCCTGGTAGACATGAACTCTGTCAAATACTGCTTCAGCACTTTCTTCCCTGCTTCTTCAGGAGGCCCCAAGTCCTCGACGCTCTTGTACCTGGAGGAAGACGGCGAGGAGAACTCCACCGAAAGATTCTCGTCAAGAACATACGGATCCCTGAAGAATATATCAGCCCCCGCCCCTCGGACCTGGATCCAGTTCTTGGGGTACTTGAACGAATAGCCATCGAAAGTGTCGATGTATTCGAGCAACCCAGGAGATGGCGGGTCAGCCAATGCGGTATTGGTATTGGTATTGGAGAAAATACAAGTGGACAAGATCAACGCCATTGCACTCCTCCTGGGAACTGCAAGAGCTTTAATCTGATTACATATTAGAAGAAAGGTGTAGCGAGAGAGGCAAGTAACAAGTGATTCAGGCAAGGCAATTCAATAACAAAACCAATCGATTTCTGGAAATTAACGAGAGCAGTTGTTGACGAGAAGTAGAAGAATTACCGTTTGAGATTGAGATTGAGAAATGAGTGAGGCGCGAGATTTAGGGAATGAATCGGTGGGCCACCGCGGAGAAGGAGAAGGGAGAGTGGTCGGAATCCTGCGCCGAATTGAAGAACTCAGGGAGTGAATTGGAGGAGAGAGCGAATCCAGGATTACAGCCATCTTCGAAAATCGAATAAAAGAGGATAAGAGAGAGGATAAGAAGATTCATTTCTTCGTCTCGGATTTATTTAAATTAAAGGTCGGTAAAGATTGACCTTCTAATAATTCTCTATGCTTCGATTTAGCCTTTTAATTTTTTTTTAACTACTATGAGACCATGGAACTATTCTTATTCATTTAAGAATTATGTGGGTTGAATGGATGTAGATTGGGGAATTCACAGACATTAGAGATGTATATGATGTAATTGATTATATGAATCCTGGTATATTATTCATCATGGAAGCAAAATGTAATATAATTCTTGCAGCACTGTCTTCTACCCCCGAGAAACTTAGTCCACTATCCGCTAACATCTAAAATCCTAGTCATCCAAGGAAGCGTGCGTCTGGCAGAGAGGATGAGTTTGAGTCTGAGTCGGATTCAAGTGGAATCAAACTCACTAGTGGTGATCCGTCGAGTTGATTGCAAACCCTTTTCTTTCTATCTCCTTCATGCATGTAGGTAGGGAATTAAATGAGGCCGATCATTTCCTTGCTAAGAAAATCCTTAGTATAGGTAACTCATTACTTTGGTTTTTGATTTTCTTCCTTGTCTTGTAAAGAGAGAGGAGCATCAGATTTCTTCTAATCCAACTGTCGGAGGTTTGTGTCAATTATCACTGGTTATGTTCGCTAATCCAACTGCACTTCTATTTATTTCAAAAAGCGAAAATAAATAAATAAAAGTAAGAATTTATTAGAAACTTTTTTTTCCCAACACATGAGCATTCCTCAATAATTAAAATATCTATTCTTTTCTTTTAATACTCGTGGTTTAAATCCCCTCGTATTTATTTATATTTAAAAGAAATATAAATCCTTTTATCGAGGAGGGACTAAATAAATCTAACTATTAAAGTTTTAGACTTTTTGTAATTGTTTCCGATACAAGGATTAGATAGATGCAAACGAAACCTTCCAATACCAAACATAGAGTAGAAGTTGACCTTCAAAAGAAATTGGGAGAACGAAATCACAAGTGTCCCACTTTGGAAAGAGAATACAAACCCATTGCAGTTCCTTTAAAAAATGAACTGAAGCTCCGAGGTTTGATCAGAAACGACACAACAGGGATGAGTGCCAACAAACTGGCATCTTCCACGCATTTCCACCCAATTCCATTGTTAGTAAGAAACTCTCTTCAAGGGGTAAACAGCTCCACCACTATCCAGCCACACCCACCTTTCAAACCAAAAGGACCCTCCATTTGGGCCACAAATCTCATCAAATCATACTTCGACAAAGGCCTAACCAAAGAAGCTCGCAACCTGTTCGATGAAATGCCTGAAAGAGATGTGGTTGCCTGGACTACCCTGATTGTTGGGTTTACTTCTTGCAATCACTATGCCCAAGCGTGGGCTGTGTTCTGCGAGATGATGAGGAGTGAAATTGAGCCAAATGCCTTCACTATGTCCAGTGTTCTTAAAGCTTCCAAAGGTATGGAGGCTCTTTCATGTGGGGCTTTGGCTCATGGGTTGGCGACTAAGCTTGGTATCGACAGGTCAATGTACGTTGGGAATGCGCTCTTGGACATGTATGCTACTTGTGCTACCATGGATGACGCATTGACTGTGTTTAATGATATTCCTCTGAAGACTGCTGTGTCATGGACTACTTTGATTGCAGCGTTCACTCATAGAGGTGATGGTTATAGTGGGCTTCAAGTCTTCAGGCAAATGTTGCTGGTAACCTATAGCTTAAACAACCTTATAGGTCTATTCCAGCAATGTATTTTACGTGAAGAAAGTGCCATAGTCGATTTCTTGGGCATGTTATGATCCGTTATCTATGTTACTTAAACACTTACATGGCATGAAGAGGATATTATTTAAGGTCCAAGGAAAATTCTAAATCAGCCTGCTATATTTTCCTTAAATTATACACAATTAGCGTTTCAGGTAAGTGGTAAACGAATTAATGGCAGGAACTTATTAGACACAATCATGAAAGGTTAAGGACATATTAAAAACTTTTAGAGTATAGAGACTATATAGTGAAATAATCATATAATTTTACCTAAATAATTTGTTTATTTTTATGTAATATTATATGTTGTTTGCCACAGGAAGATGTTGAACCAAACTCATTTAGCTTTTCCATTGCGGTTAGAGCTTGTGCTTCGATTGGTTCGTCTTCGTATGGAAAGCAAATACATGCAGCAGTCACCAAATACGGTCTCCACTCTGATGTTCCAGTAATGAACTCCATACTTGACATGTATTGCAGGTGTAACTGTTTATGCGATGCAAAAAGATGCTTTGGTGAAATGACTGTAAAGAATTTGATAACATGGAACACCTTGATAGCAGGGTACGAAAGGTCAGATTCCAGCGAGTCTCTACGTTTGTTTTCGCACATGGGGTGCGAAGGTTACGAACCGAACTGTTTTACATTCACAAGTGTTACAGCTGCTTGTGCCAATTTAGCAGTCTTAAGCTGTGGACAGCAGGTTCATGGCGGAATTGTTCGCAGAGGATTTGACAAGAGTGTGGCATTGATCAATGCACTTATCGATATGTACGCAAAGTGTGGAAATGTAAATGACTCACACAAACTCTTCAGTGATATGACTCAAAGAGACTTGGTTTCGTGGACTACCATGATGATTGGGTATGGAGCACATGGGTATGGAAAAGAGGCCATTAAGTTGTTCGACGAAATGGTTCGAAGCAGAATTCGACCTGATCGGATAGTGTTCATGGCAGTTCTAAGTGCTTGTAGCCATGCTGGACTTGTGGATAAGGGACTAATATATTTCAGATCAATGCTGGAGGATTACAGACTTAACCCCGATCAAGAGATCTACGGGTGTGTTGTGGACTTGCTTGGTCGCGCTGGGAGAGTTGAGGAAGCTTTTCAACTTGCCGAGAGCATGCCATTCGAACCTGACGAGTCTGTTTGGGGTGCCCTCTTGGGAGCTTGTAAAGAATATGAACTTTCAAATCTAGGAAACTTGGCAGCTCAGAGAGTACTGGATATGAGGCCAAATATGGCGGGGACGTATCTGTTGCTGTCGAATATATATGCAGCTGAAGGCAAATGGAACGAGTTCGCCAAAATGAGGAAGCTGATGAAAGGGATGGACAACAAGAAAGAAGTGGGTAAGAGTTGGATTGAAATTAGAAATGAAGTTTATAGTTTTGTGGTTGGAGATAAGATGGGCCCTCACATAGAGTGGGTGCATAAAGTTCTGGAATTACTGATTTGGCATATGAAAGATGATGGGGATGTGACAGATTTGAAATACTTAGTTGAATATCTAGAAGGGACTTGATTCAGAACATGAACGATGGGAAAAGGCCACATGAAACAAAGAGGGGAGTTCTGGAATATCATCTGCTCCCTTTTCCAAAAACATCATTGTTGATGCGATCAAAACAAGAAGACGAAAATAATATTATCAACCAATGAGAGAACCCTCCTCATAGAAGTAAATTTCTGTGCAAATTCAGTATAGAGGAGGAGACGAAACCGTGCCACCGATACTAGAAAGAGGTTCATAATGACGGGGCGATATCCTTTTATGTTGAGAACATCTCAACTTGCAGAGATGGAGATGATGCAAGCCAACATAATGATAATGCTGATGGCACCTTGCTCTCCTTATAGAGATCCTCAAAGGTACAAATGCCCTTTCATACAATACAATACAATTCCAATGAATGCACTTATGAGCTGAACCCAGCATGAAGGAACGTGTTCTTCTTCTTCTTTCTTATTTATTTATTTATTTTTGCTGTACGATCAATATAATACCAGCAAGCAGAGAGATCAAGGCTCTATCTTGTTCACCATCTATAGAAAACAGGGATGAGTGGAAGTAATACTGAAGCCAAAGCAAAGAGAAGACAATTAAAACTTTTCATTTCATTTTAGTACCATTAAGTAGTAAAAAACAGAAACCACAAAAGAGAGTTTCTTAAACGTAAAAATCAGAAGAAATACATATGAGAGAGCCCTATAAAAGCAGCTAGACTAGACCTCCTAAACTTCTACAGCTCCCACCACTTCTTCCTTCTTCTCACTCACTTCCTTAACTGGCTCTTCAACCTGGAAAGCAGAGACTGGAAAAGTCCTATACAGCCCTGTTGGAGTCTGGAAGGTGATTTTTCCAGTGGGTGGATCATCAACATAGATATCACTGAGTGTGACCCAGAGCAGAAGCTCCTTAGTCTTAACCCCAGTGAGTTTCTTGATCTTGTTCTGCTCTACAGTGGCTGTGACTTCTGTGGCATAAGAAACAAGCTTCCCAATCTTCTCAAACTTGTGGGTTGTGCTCTTTTTCTGCTTCAGCCAAACAAACCCCGTCTCCCTCACAATCCCACACTCCTCAATGTCTTTTAAGGGCAGAAGCCCATTGGGAAGCCCTATTTCTTTGAGTAAGTCTCTGGATTTCTCTTGGCACTTCTCATCTCCATGGTACACTTCATCTGCTTTGCCTCTGATTTCTTCTGTCACAAGAGACATTTTTTTCCTCTCTCTCTCCCTCTCTCTTTTGATTTGCTGCTGCTTTTGAATCAACTCCTGATTGCTGATATGGGTAAAGCCTAGGAAATGGAGGAAAGGGAGTGGGGTTCATATAGTCGTTTGCCTTCTGTTTTGCCCTTCATTGTCTTTAAAACTACCAAAATGCCATTGGAAAAGTCAACAACAGGAAAAAGCCAGAACCAGAGAGTTCACAAGCTTAGTGTGGTATTGCCTCACATGGTAGACACGATCGGTTGGTCCGGCAAAGTACCTTTCAGACCTCTCCCCAAAAAAGTTATCTTTGTTTCCGTTTAGAGAAAGGCCATTAATTTAGGCGGTAAATTGCTATACCATTATGGTTTTTGCATAGTTTCATTAATCTGGTCCATGTGATTTTCAATACTTTTTTGGATAAGAAACAATATGTGATTTTACATATTGCTATTTCACCTCTATAGTTCGGTTAGATCTTGCAAAAGGCCACCGTCCTTACCGAATATTAACAATTTTTTAATGTGACGCTCTTTATTTAAACATGATAGAGAGGAAAAAATGAGCTGATATTGATATAACGTAGGCATGAAGGATAAATTGGTTGAAACCTCAATACATTCAACCCAAATAATCAATTAATTTAATTTTCACATATCTTATATTAAATATCAACACATCATAACTCAGCGGTAATTGACATATATCTCAAACCAAGAGATTGTGAGTTCGATCTCTTACTCCCATATATTGTACTTAAAAAAAAGTATCTAACCCATCATCACTCATGGCCAAAGAAAATGTGTTTTGGAGTTCTAAGAGATTTAACCAAATCATAGAAACAAAACAGTAACTCGAAGAAAGAGGGGTAAAATAGTAATTTATGAGGGAAAAAAAGATTGGAGAGAGAGATGAGAGTGATGCATGACATTTAAGAAGCAGATGGGAGGATTTATTGCAAAATTAAAAGAGGTTGGAGGGAGATAGCCAATGGGATAGTGACACGTGTGATATAGGTAGAAGGGCTAAGATATTTATTAGGAGGGTGATGAATCAAAGTGGGTGCAATCAATAATCAGATGCTTTAGCTTCCACTTAGAAAATTAAGATTCACACTCTTTCTAATATAGGGTTGGCTAGATGGAAAATTTTTAATTTACCTTTAGAGTTTGATAAAACTTACTCTATTTGTCGAATTGAGTATAGTTTAATGATAATTGACATATATCTCTATTCAAGAAGTTGTGAGTTTGATCTCCACTCCACTATCACATATTGTACTAAAAAAATTACTCAATCTTTATATTACATTTTAAATTTCATTAAATTGTCTCTTAAGCTTAAAAGGGGGTTAACGTATAAGTTTGGTTCTTGAACTTTTTGAGAGTGGTGTTTTATATGCTAATAAGTTTTCAAGGGCCAGTTTAGTAACATTTAATAAGTTTTCAAGGGTCAGCTTAGTAACATTTACGTTTCTTGTTTATTATTTCTCGTTTCTAGTTTTTGAGAAATATAAGTGTTTGGTAACTATTCTTATTTTTTTGTTTCACGTTTTTTAAGAAACATTTCTAAAATTGTCAACTAAATAAAGTTTCTTATTTTATGTTCTTGTTTCTTATTTTTTTTAAACATAAATAAAAGTGTTAGTCTGTAATTCTTGACTTGTAAAATGCATAATAATTTTAAAAAATAAATATAAGATAAAAATTTAAACATTTAATTTTAAATTTTATTTTTCATATAAAATTTGATTTTTTTAATTTAAAATTTTAGAGAATTAAAAAAAATGATTACCAATTATATTTCTGATTCTTTTTCTATAAACAAATAAAGAACAAGAAATCATTACCAAATGTAGCTTTGTTTCTATTTATTAGAAAAGAGAAAATAAGGAATATTACATACGAGCTCTAAACTTTGTGTCAAATGGCTTGAAATAAATAAAAAGTGTCGAAGGAAAATGAGAATATACAAGGGAAATTATTATTTCAATTTCTATGCGTTTCCTTGCAATATCTTGTAATATCTGACGAGGCCAAAGTCAAGCGAAAACCCATAAAAACACACGGTCCAATCCATTTAACATCACGTATATGTGTCAAACCGAGCACAGCTCAAGTGGTTAAGGCATATATCTCTGACCAAAATGTCATAAATTCGAACCCACACTCGACATGTTGTACTAAAAAAACAAAAAATTCCAAGGAAAACAAGAATATACCAGGGAAATGACTATTTTAAATTATGTTTTTTTCCTTCGTCTCTCGCGTTATCTTGCAACGCTAAAATCAAACAACAACCCATCAAAACACAGACTCCAATATTGCTTATATGTTCCAAATGACTTAAAATAAAGTAAAAGAGTCTAAGGAAAATAAGAATATGCAGGGGAAGTGACTATTCTAAAGTCATGAATACACAATCATGCAATTTTTTTATTCGTTTTCTCGTACTATCATGCAATACTTTCGTTATATTAACGATTTAGTCCTTGAACTATAATTCGTAACAATTTAGTCTCTGTATTTTTAGTAACTAACAATTTAGTTCTGTAGTTTAAAATTTTAACAATTTACTCCCTATTTGTGAAACTCATTTAAAATTAAGTGTCGATTTTTATAATATAACGATTTAGTCTTTGTCATTTATAAATACACTTGGTCCCTCATCAATTTATCAATCTACATATATAAGGAATTTAACAAAAAAATTTTACCATAAGAACTAAATCATTACAAACTTTAAACTACAATGACTAAAGCAAAAGTTATGTTTGGTTCTAAAAAAGAAAAAAAGCAAAAGATAATTTTTAAATCTATGATTTAGATCGGGCTATAATTATATAAATATTATAACTTTCAAGTATCTTACTCGTCTTTTTCACCTCGGAAAGAATAAAATATATATCTTAGCCTATAATATTTATTTACATTTCTGTATCTACATATATGGGCAGAAATTATTGAAGTTCAAGTATTAAATAGTTTGGTCTCTAAAATATGAAAATTTAACTCTTTTGTGAACTTAGCTTGTGACAAATTTTATTTTATCTAACTTGGTGGGGTTTTTTTTTTCTTTTCTTTTTTTTTTTAATAATCGTACATCAACAATTGTATCATAAGATGTTAGAACCCAAGATAAACAATTTCAAATTAAATCTAAAAAAAATAAGAAATAAAAAATAAAAGGGAGACAATTCAAATTTGATAAAATGTTTGTTTTTAAACTAAATTTCTATTTAGTCTCTCTCTGTTAACATCATTATGTCGACTTAAATTTAGTTGAATTAACCAAAGCAAGTATAGCTAAACGATAGTTGACATATATCTCCAACCAAGAGTTTGTGAGTTCGATCTCCTACTCCCACATGTTGTACTAAAAATAATTCGTTGAACTAGTTAAGAAACTTATCTATCACAAAAAAAAAATTTGAGTTTGAATTCTCGTCTTAAAATATTATTATTATTATTATTATTATTTTCTTTTTACGGAGAACACAACCCTTAAAAAAATAATTGTTAACAAAAGAACGATGTAACATGTTTTATTAAATAAACACAAGCTATTTTGCATTTTATGACAAATAGATGTCAAAAACAAGTATTGCCTTTTTTTTTGGAAAAAAAACTTCATCCACCTACCTACCTAACCCATCCACTGCCACTTTGTTTGTTCAACTGTCAATTTATTACTCTTTCTTTATTATCAATTTGTCACGTTAAATCAACTAATATTTATCTAGTCAAATTAACATCTCATTAATAAAGTTAATGGTTAATTGGGAGAACTAAATAAAACTATGTTAATATGGAGATACTTCAACTAAACAACATTACTTTTTTAAGATTTTTTTTTTAAGAATAAAATATTGAAGTTAAACTATTGACCATTGAGATGATATTGTCACGGATACAACACAAAAAATTAATCAAATTTGTCCAATGTATCCAAAAATTGCTCAGCAATAACCGAACAAGTGGGAAATATTGGAGTAAACAGAAAAAGTTTGGATAAAGCCGAATCTAAATGTTAGCTAGATAAGTATCTTATCCCCGAGCTATGCTCAAAATGGCTACCTTCGTTTAAAAATTTGAGTCCCTCCAGCCCTTATTGAACTCAAAAATGAAAAATTAACTAAATAGAACCATATATTTAAATTTTGGAGTATAAGTGATACTTTATAAAGTCTATCAAATAAACAGAATATTGTCAAAATTTAGGCACCAAGTTTATTTTTCTACCTATTAAGAAAAATGTCCTGACAAAGGTAAAATTACGAAATGAGATTAACTAATGATAAAAAAATATATATTCAGAAACCTGCAAACTTTAGATACACTAAAGCGCCAAAAAGCTTTGCAAGTCTCATTCTTGTTTGCTCCAATCTTGTGGGGTACTCAAATTGGATCAGTTATCAATTTCTAGGTTTCATGTAAATAAATTATACATAAAACTATAAACTTAACAAATTGGTAAATGGTCTACAATGAGCTCTCACTATGAAGCAGAAAAAGTCCCATTCTAATACTCGAGGAAATCAAATATAACCCCTTGTAAGATCGTAGCTATTTGCAACATCAACCCATGAATCCAGTTAGAGAAATCGTCGAAGGAACTCTTTTATCTCATCGATGTAGGGAGAACGAGTAGGAATTATGTGACCGGAGTCGTGCTCGATTATCACAGAACAACCTGCATCAAAACAAGAAGCAAGGTCTCTGCTCGTTTCGTTCGCTATCTGCCTATCGTTTCCCTGATCACTACCAAATATGTGAAGTGAGGGGCAGCTAATTGGTTCATGGTTTGACTCTTGCATTTGAAGAGGAAATCCAGAGCACAACACTGCAAAGCGAAAGTCTATTGCACCCTTTAGACTCGTTTTTCTCGAACATACTGCTGCAACCATTGCTGCTCCTTGTGAAAAACCCAAGATCCCATCAAATGGTCCTTGCTCAGAAAATAGAGTCTTCAAATACGCCAACGATTCCTCAAACCCATCAGTTTGTTTCTGATACTGGAGTGGATCAAATGGGGCATCTGCAACTTCCCATTGAGTTTCATTCCTTTCACCTGCATTGTGTGCAATTAACCAAGCAAACTTCTTCCTGCAACACCCTAATGGCGGAGGACGGTTTGGTTGTACTGAAGATGTCATGCAAGCTTCCTGAGGCTCACTGTCGCGAGGATGGTAAATAAACGATAACTCGTGAGGTGCATCAACATACACAAACTCCACCATGATTTTGAGTTTCTTTGCTAATGATGCAGTTCTTCCTTTGAAGCTTGAAGCGTTCTGTCTAAATCCATGCAAACATAGGATTCTCAATTTTCTCGGTGACCTACAACCTGAGAAAGAGCTTCAATTACATCTCAATTAAAGGAAGGATACAGATTTGATTTCCAAAAGCCTCAGAATGGCAAGGTAAGCCAATACTTAACGGCTCATACTAGATTGCTAAATATCAGAAATATGATATGATGGAAACATGAACATCACCTAGAGGAATCTAAAATAAACCAATTTATTGCTTATATAGAGCAAATGGACTATCGTTGGGGCCTAGAACTTGTGTGGAAAGATAGTAATGATCGCATCAGTATGTTTGAAAGTAGTGTTTTTAACCTGCCAAAAGCACTTCTCTCTCAAAATCATCATGTTTGGGAGTAATGTATACATACTTTTATAAAAGGTCAAAAGCATTTAGATTATATTTTTCCAAGTGCTTAATCGAGAAAGACTTTAAAAGCATTTTAAAGAGTGCAAAACTCAATTTTCTGAAAAGAGTGTCTAGGTATGCTTTCTAGAAAATCTCCATGAAGTGAGGCACCCTTAATGAACCACATGCCTGAACACTAATGGTGCAATTGTATGCCTCATATGCATGTGCGAGCATACTCTTTTTACCTTTTTAAATATTTTTTTTCTATTTTTCAAATATTCTTAAAAAATGTTCATTCCTCCCCCCTACAATCTCTAATAAAAGCAAGCTCTAATTTCTTAAACTATTCATTATCTTATTATCTGTAATACTATTATTTTCATACATAAAAAGATTATCACATTTTTTTAATTGTGCGTTTCATAAAAAAGACCTCGCCCTTTTTTGCACTCACACTTAATCCCCATAAAATTATTGCACTTTAGAGTGCTTATGCTTTTAGAAACACCGCTAAAACCAAACATCAAAGTGATTGGTTGAAAACATTAATTCTAAAAGCATTTCCAAACACACCCTAGATCAAGGCATTGAGTCTCGTGATGGTATCAAGTGAATGGTGTAATCAGTAATGATAATTCAAATCATATCATAAAGAATTATATCGATATTTTCCTAGCACATGCAACGGGCAACATCAGAATTAACACAGACCTTACCATTACTCCAAGGAAGTTGCTGGGAACCAATTTGGAGTTCATTTTGCAGTGAGACTACTTCCGATTTTGTGCTCTGGAATTGAGAAATCAGCCCGCCATCCTTACCATGCTTCTGACACAGCTCACAAACATATAGGGTCTCCTTTTTCTGAGCCGCGATAACCGGATGCAGAAGCAGGATTTCACAAAACACAAGAAGGATAAAAGTGATCAGAAAAAGATGATAACGGAGTGGATAAAATGAATCCCTGAATTCAAGTTGCTGCTAAAAAATCACTGAATAATAGATAGAACAGCAAGCCAGATAAGATTGAGTGCAAGGAGATTATTGTTATAGCAGACCTGACAATTATCACACACCAGAACGAGCATTCGACAATTTTTACACCGACAGCGAGAAGAATAATCATCAAAGGGGTCTCCACAAATAAGACAGGTCCCGATGATATCTTCAGTTGAGCTCCCAACAGACATCCTATAACCACACAACTAAACATTAATAATATTTCAGCTGAAATTGCAACAACGGTTATGTCCCTAGATTCCCACGAAGTTGCAGTCACTGTGTTAAAAAAAATTGTTAAATTAAATACTTCGGTGAATATATATCATGTCTGATTTCTCCAACTCTAAAATCTTTTAAATTCTTAACTTTGACATTCTAAGAGGATACAATGCCGAGGGAATCAGAGATTTCACCTGTGATCAAACACAAAATTCTTCCCTGCAAACAATCCACCATCAGGAAATTGTTCCAAGTAACGTTGTATTCCACCATATAACTGCAGCGAAGCACACCATCACACCAATATATAAAATGACTCTGATATGAAAAAACCGCAGTTGACTAATGTTTGCTTAGAAAGTGACAGGAATAATGCATGCATCATGGTTACATCAAGGCGTGGCTTAAATTTTGAGACAATTAAAAATTTAAGCCTATCATTCATAAGTTAACCATTCATAGGTTTGAAAGTGGGGAAAACACGTCAATAAATCCAATATCTATGACATCAATATGTATGTCAAAGATATGAAATAAATTAAATTCTCCTGTGATATGATTGCACCTGAAACACATTCTGAAAGTCAGGTCCTTTTGACCTTATGTACGCTGAAGCCATCTCACACCTGATTCCTCCAGTGCAATACCTATTAGATAGGAAGAGGATGAAACTTAAGCCATAACAATAACGTATTGTCATAAAACCTGCAATTTTAGCTATAAAACAAGCCATCAACAAATCTAGTGCTGTATGCACGAGCATTAACAAACTACAAGTTCATACCAAGGAAGGCATTGTGTACCAGGACCTATTAAATTAACTGTTCACATGTAAGAAGGCCAAAGAATCGGGATTACAGATAAAAAGAACAATAACCAAATTTGATTAGACCCAGCTAGAGGTTGTAGTTCTAACCTTGAATATAAAAATCAAGCATTTGTGGCTCAACAACACACACATACTCACATCTGATTTTGCACATAGGGGAACATAAGTGTTAAACCAAATCCCGAAAGAAGAAAAAAGGTGCTTATCATTCAAATGAATTAACAAATTAGACCAGTGTGAGCCACATGCCAAACATAAGCAATTGGTGGAAATATACTATTTTATCATGTCATGAAAAATAAAGAAAAGGTATTCGAATTCGGATAGATAACTTATAGTTTGAAACAACTAACATAAGAATTTTTTTCGCTCGCAGCTTTTCAGAATTATCATCAATCCAAGATGGCAAATCACTATACTGCCTAATTTCTGGATCCAGTGTTTCAACATTTGGTGTTTGGAACTTCCCAACTCTAGTCTCGTATAAATTCCTGGCATCCAATAGAACGACATCTTTATTATGCCTCGGTGTCTCTTCATCCGAGAGTAGCCCTGGAAAGTATAACATGATCAATCAAAAGATCTATATTTCCAATCATCTCTGCCCCTGCAGTGCATAAAGTCGTGCCTGTAGCTATAAGTCAGTAAAGTAAAAAATAAAGCAGAAGAACAAGAGAATTATCTAACCAGCACTCTCAAGAACAGAATGAAATTCAGCAGCAGAGAGATGAGTTCCAGCTTCTGTAATTTCAGGTAACTTTAAGAGAGGATTTGAACAAAGGGTGACCAACTCCTGAGAAACATACAATTGTCAACAGTAAAATTGCTTAAGTTTGCAGCTACAAGTGGCTTAAAGTTGAAAGGAAGGAACATCTTTTACTTGGACAACTCGAACTGAAAGAGAAGTAAATCCACATTCTCTCGCTACAATGTCATTCAAGGGTTGGTGACAGGATGCGAGCTTGAAATCAGTCCCATCAAATAAGCTATTCAACTTCATTGCAGTAATATGACTCCTCAACGAGCATAACTTCCCGCAAACCTAATTGGGAAGGAGGAAAAGTTCAAAACACCGCAGTAAATGGAAAATGCCGAATCAAAGAGCATTGGAATGAGAATCTCATTGAAGCCAAATGAAAAGGCAAGCAAACAGAGAAAGTGGAAGGGATTAGCAGGTTAAAACAAGCTGCTTACAGTGACGTTGACACCCTGAGAAGCGAGGCGGACACGACCCACAAGGCCGAGGGAGCTGCAATTGGACTCGTAGAAGGAAACGAGGTCATCGAGGTCAGGTATCTGAGCGTACTTGTAGTACAGAAGGACGCCATATTGGTCATCGTCTTCGTTGTTCACCATTGAAAGGGGCAAAATTTCAGAGCTTTGACAGTTTCGCTGGATGGAGAGAAGATGTTTTGGAAGAGGAAGGAGCCAAGGCCCTGCTATATCGCGCCTCGGCGTCGCCGGACCAGCCCTGCCTACAATTCGACAGAATAAGAGTTCTGTTTTAACTTTTACGCATGTATTCAAAATATCCATCGAGATTTTGACATTCTATTGGGTTCGACATTGACTAAATCCACGTTTCATCCTACAACAAAATCGACAAAATATAAAGAATATCAATGGAACGTGATTAATATATACATAATATTAATATTAATTATTTTTAACTTAGAAATAGGAAAATATTTATTTGTGAATTTAAATATTTTTTAATTTTTCTAATTTTTATAAAAATATCTATCGATATTTATATCGAAATTTCTAGACATCGACATTTAAAATCTTGATTTTAAGATCACTATTCAATAAAAAAATTCTTAATAATAAGTTAGTGGTTTTTTTTTCTTTTGAAAAAGTTGTTAATGGTTAAAATTTTAAAAACATACTCATGAATTCGAACATCATTTGATGCGATAAGAATCTTGTTACTGTTATTATGATTGATAATTTAGTCTTTTTTTGTTTTTTTAGCTGAAAAAAATATGAGGTATTTACATTTTTAGAAAGTGTTGAAAAATTGACTGGATAAACTTTTGAAGCTAACTATTTTCTAAACTTTTTTAATAGAAAGTACATGAGGTATACAAATTGGGATCTCCAATTTTAAAAGATAAATAAATGTTTTGCGTTGATCTAACAATAATTCAAACTCGTATGATAGTAAATATTTTCATAAAAATATGATATAGCATTTATTAAGTAGGTTTAATGGGGGTATGATTCTTTACAATTTTATTATGATTATTCTTTATTCACTTGCATTAAAGAATTCGTACGACTCAATTTATTAGTGTGTCAATGATTATTTCTAGCAATAATTCTGTTGCGGTTACATACTTTAAAGCATATTTAAGCGAGTGTTTTCATATGAAAGATCTTGGTGTTCTTAAAAATTTTCTTACAAATAATTTGGACTTAAACTTATGTTAACAAAAATATGCACTTTATATCATCTCGGAGGTTGGTTTGTTGGGCGTCAAACCAATTTTATTTATTCTCGAACATAATCATTAGTTGGCGCGTGCCACAAGCTCTTATCTCTCAGATCCGGAGTCCTATTGATGCTTAGCTGGACATCTTATTTATTTGGTTGTCACTCGTCCTAACTCCTAACTTAACTTACTCGATCCATATTCTCTCTTAGTTTATGTAGGAGCCGACACATGATGGGATGCTGCTTTACGTGTTGTACGTTATTTAAAGAAATTTTCGGGGTATTTTGTTACGTTTCGATAGTGATTTGTCTTTGACATGTTGATATGATTTGGATTGGACGGATTGTCCTCTTACCCGACAATCACTCATTGGTTGGATTTTTTTTTTTTGAAACTCATCAATGTCGTGGGAGACTGAGAAGCAACATATGGTCGCTTGCTCTTTTGCGGAGGCAGAATGTCGTTCTATAGCTTCCATTACATGTGAACTTAAATGGTTGAATAATTTACTTATGAATTTGGAAGTGTATTATACCAAGTCAATATCTCTTTCATGCAATAGTCAGATTGCATTACACATAGCGTAGAATCAAGTTTTCCATAAACGCACCAAACATGTCAAAGTTAACTATCACTTTGTTCGGGATGCTATCAAAGAAGGTCTAATTACACCATCTTACGTTTCAACATCAGGCTAATTGTCAGACATTTTTTCTAAGGCATTGAGAAAAAAACAAATCGATCTTCCTTTTAACAAGTTCACATTCATACCCACTTGACGGAGTGATACGTATTATATTATGTTTATTTTTGTATTTATTATTTATTATTTTTCAATTCTATTTCCTTATTGAGTTCCAGACAAATGTGGAATAGTTTTTGTATATTTTACTTTTCCGATCAATGAAAAAATAGAGAGTAATATCTCAATTTGTCAACATAAATTTGAATTTTGTATCTTATAGAATTCTAAACAAGTGTGTCGAATAAATTTAGAAATTAAAATATCTATATATAAAATTAGAAGTTAATAAATCTGTTAGGTACATCTTCATAGGAACTCAATAGACACAAATTTAAAATTTTAAAGAAGAACTAAAATTATATATAAAATCGTAGGGCTAAAAAGGGCATTAATCTCAAATTTTAGGGAACAAAAGCAGAAGTTATTTAATCTAAAATTTGGAAAATATTATCTGACCAATTTAACATAAAAACCGCTGCCCGCTGCCCGCTGCTTCGGTTCGAATCTTCCTTCCCCTTCGTTTCAGTTCCCTCGCAGTCTCGATTCTCCACTATCAAATTTCTAGTGTGGTGTGGTAGTTGATCCTTTGAGTATGTGGTTACAGATTTCGTGCGTATATTGTTTCAACTTAGTCGGTGTTGTACTATGCACTGATTTTTTTGTTTTTTATGCTTGGATGAAGAATTTAACTGCAAATCTAATTTGTTAAAATGGGGAAGCATTTGCATATTTGAGTTATATCTCAATCCATTATCTTATTCACATTTCTATTGGAAAGTAGGAAGAGAACAATTGTATAGTATATCTTGAGCAGAAATGAAATCACAATGGCTGGCTTCAGGGAGAAGCTCTGATTTTTTCTCAGGCTACAAAAGTTCTTACCTTTTGTCTTTAAATTAGCCGTTGATGTTTGGTGGGGCGCATAAGTATTCTGTTATTGATAGCGTTTGCTGGAGGTTTTAGTTTTTTTAGAGTAGAGGATTAATTGGAGATCCGTTTTCAGTTTGACTACATGTGGGTATTAAAAGAGAAAGCTAAATTAAGTGTGGGCTATTGAACCATATTTTGTTTGTTAACTTCATCAATTTGTTTTTCTTCCTTTGCCATTGAATATGGTAGGATCTTTTCCATGATTCATTCGCACAGATTGTTTGTTAAATGCATGTTACTTTCGACAGCTTCGAAGTATTAAAGAATGAACCCACAAAAATGTATATCATTAGAGACCTTCATAGTAAAAAAGTATATCATTAGAGACTGATGGATTTCTTGTGCACAGCGATAAGATGGCGATAAGGATGGCATGGAGGCAGATTTTCTCCAACAATAGGTCAATACTCCAACCATACTCGGCGCCTTTATATGCTAGATTCTTTTCTAAATCCACCCCATATGTTGGTAAGTGCTCTTTTTTTCTTCTTCCAATCTTATTAGGATAAAAACTTCTCTCTCATATTGATCCAAGAGCTGAGCTTATTCTCAATTTGATTTCTGGAATATGGATAGTAAAGTGACCTGAAGTATGTTCGGTGAGCCAAAAAAGGAGTGGGGGAATGCATGGTTTACTGAATGGTAGCATGAACAGAAACAGACATGGAGTTTATTTGTTATCTCTTCATTGAATGACCAATTTATTACCCAAACAGAAGCCAGGGCATGATTCACCATTTGTTAATTGGAAGCGGGAGAAATAAATGTGATTGTGAAAAGTATTACTATCTTTCTGTATGGTGAAGCCATATAAAGCTTAATTTTCCCATTGGTATTGATATCTTTATCTGTTACTACTTGTTGGTCATCATTGGTGTGCTATGCTTTTGTTGTGGCTAGGATTAAATGTCTGGATTTAGAATTGACAAGATAAGATTATATGTGCTTGATTTTTGTCATTTATGTTTTAGTGAAGGTCGGGATACCAGAGTTTTTAAACGGTGTTGGGCATGGGGTGGAGTCACATGTGGCTAAACTTGAATCAGAGATTGGCGACTTCCAAAAGTTGCTTGTCACTCGCACACTTAAGCTGAAAGAACTTGGAATCCCATGCAAAGATGTAAGTATTTCCTCAACCTTATTCTTATTCTAATGATTATTTTTGCAAAGACAGTCAAAAACCTGGCCGTTTCAGTTCTTAAACTGTCAAACATATTCCTACAGTACAGTCATGGAAACCATCATGTGATTGATATGGATTAGCAAGCAAACTTAAACCTGTTTGATTGCCAAAAAATAAGCTTTTTTTAGTGGTAGCAACTTTAATAACCAAGAAGTGATCCTTCTTTGTTTTGCTTATAACTTCTTTCGGTGCTAATTTTCTGATGGCTAGTTGTTGTAATGTATTTTATTTTAATGCCTTTCATTATTTCTACTGAACTCTTTTTAGAAGAGTAGGACAGTTATTTTTTTGTCTAGTTACTAGAGTATATATATTAAATACTATTGTCTATATATAGGTTAGATTTTAGAAGAGGAATCCTGATGTGGCAGACTTGCTTTTTTGCTATTTTTTGGAGTATTTGGCTTGAGAGGAATAATATAATTTTTAGGGGTTGAGAGGTCTTAGGAGGAAATTCGAGATAGGTTAAATTTAATACCTCTTTGTGGGTCTTGGTTTCTCAGGCTTTTTGTTTGGTGTTATTATTTTGGATTGGAGTCCCTTATACGATGGTCTCCTTTTGTCGGGCTTATTTTTTGTATACTCTTATAGATTCTTTCATTTTACCTCAATGAAAGCTCGATTTCTTATAAAAAAAAAATATTTTCGTCTAGTTGTCTTTATATCATGCTATGTTAAAAGTTATGGGAGAGACATTTATATTCTTGTATGATCCTCTTAAAGTGTAACCTGGCCCTTCTCTATTATTTAATGTTCATATAGATGTGGTGTTCATGGATTAATCTCTCTTTTCAAATTTGAAATTTGGAATACTTTCCTTAAGCATGCTAAGAATTTTAAATAATAGAATGGAGCTGAAAATTCATTAACAAGCTTTTATAAGTTTGCTTTTTTTAGAGGAAACAATTTGATTGATGTATGAAATTTACAAAAGATAAGTCTATCCAACAAAATTACAAATGACTTCTCCAATTGGGCAAAAGAATGTTCAAGCTATGACTGTTGAAAGGAGCCACATTTTTACACCAAGTAGTAGACAAAAATGGATATTATAACTTTCACAATGGAATAGATTTAATTAAATTTCAGATCCTTAACAACAAGTTAATTCTTTAGTTTTTTTAAAGAAAAATATCAAGAAGTTATTATATAGTTAATATTTCGCCTGTGGCATCAAAAATATGTTTAAAAGAATTAGTAAAATAACATGGATATCATGGATTTAGCAATTATTAGTCTGAGTCAAATGGCATCTACTGTTGTCGAGCATCAAAAATATGTTTAAAAGAATTAGTAAAATAACATGGATATCATGGATTTAGCAATTATTAGTCTGAGTCAAATGGCATCTACTGTTGTCGAATCTGGATCAGATGCAATCCCCTTGGGTAATATGTGTCTAGTATAAAATTATTTATTACTGTAGGTGTCCGGTTGGATGCAATGCATCAAAATGCTTCCATACTTGTATATCTCAGTTAGTATTCAAGAATGTACGGAGAACTACAAGCATATAGGCAAATCTGAGAGTTTCCCATCTCTCTCAACTTCTAGTTCTCTTTCACTCTCCTTTTTTCCTATATCCATTTTATAACAGGGGGTCATCACATGCCTCACAGCTGGTACCAAATCTCAGTCGTAATTGTTGAGTAATACAAGTTTTGGCAAGAGCAAAATTCGTAGATACCTTGTATTTGGTTTAGAACAGTAGTGGTTTGATTGATGTCTTCACAATGCTGTTTGTTGGCCTAAATTTTCATGTATGGTCTGTGGCAGAGGAAGCTGATATTGAAGTATATTCACAAGTACAGGCTAGGACTATGGAGGCCCCGAGCCGACTCCATGAAGCCCTGATGGTTTAACTAGATTTACGAAGTGAATGGAATCGCTTGCTGATCCTTGGACCTCAGTTTGTAAAACACTCTAGGACAAATTTTCAGTTACTAAATCTAGCGTATCCTCATTTTACAGTTTTGTAATTGTTACTATTCATTTACTAACTGCATACATGTTTGGTTGGTTTAAGATTATGCATGTAGCTTAAATTTAAGTGAACTGAGAGTTCAAATTTCATATCAACTGAATGACAGGACGAATTCAGGTATGCTCTTTCTAGAACTATTATTTTGTAGATTCAGTGAAAATCATAAAACTCATTCCATAGGGGCACATTTTCACAGAAGGGGCTTGGCTTGTGTATGATTGATATAACTTGTTAACCCACTTCATAACACCCAACCCATTTTGGGTTCACTTCTGAACCTTTTCTTGCCATTTGAAACAGTGGCCAAAAAGAAGAATCAGAAGGCAACGGCCCACCCATTTCTCTTGTCACAGCAAGGCCACGTGTAAGGCAATGATTGGGCCCCACCCAATTGAACAAAATGTGTGATGTTTGATAGTCAACCTCCTGTTTTGTCTTTACATGGGAAGGAAGGCGAAGTGGTGATGTTGGTTGGTTGGATGGATGCACACGATTTCACCATAATTGAGGCCATTAGGTTTGAGCCACCACTTGTGCTGTTGAGTTTTTTGTGTCTGTGTTTCATTCTTTTTTCTTGTTCCCACCACCCACCAGGCCATGCCCTCCAATTATTGCTCTTTTTCTCTTGTTACAATTATGTGTTGATAACTAGAAATTTTTCAGGTGAATTGTCAGAATAGGACTCTTCTTTTGCTGTCCCATGTTCACCTCTCACATGAACACCCTTCCATCTACCTTTTTGCTTTCATATATATTTTCTCCACGAAAACACTTAGGTGCTCATCGGTGACACCTCTCTTGTGTTGACCATTATTAAACTGATGAAACGTACTAAAATAGAGATTCTTCTTAGAAAATAACGAATCGTCAAATTTTCAATGGTAGTCAACATAAAGATGGGTACAACAGGTCAGTACCTAAATATTATTCTTAAAAGATTTGTTATAAGTCCCTTTTGGGTTTGGATAGAAATCAACCTCACCTATTTCCTCCTCTCACAATAAATGTGTACAAGAATGAATTTGAATTTATATAGACATTTAATAACTATTCTTTAACATATGTTTGTTGGGGGGTTTGCATTAACTTGGCTTAGAAAATGTTTCAAAATATGGAAAGAACAACTTTCCTGGATTTCCCAGGATCTATTTTGTACAATTGAAGATATAACTCTTTGACGGTATTGGATGTAAATATTGAGATTATTGTGCACTTGAAATCATTGTTAGAGCATAGAGGTCCTTGATTTTAGGAGGAACGGTGACTTCATTTGTTGAAGAACTCATTAGAGATGTCACTAATGCATTAATCAATTGAGATATAGTCTAAAATATGTTAGATGGAAGGATTTAAATGTCGTTATCATAGAAATACCAATAAAATGTCAATGTCAATGAAAATTTCTAGAAAATTCATAAAAAGAACAAATTCATAAAAATTATCTAAATTAACTAGAAAAAAAAACATTTCACCCTTTTTAAATAAGTTCAAAATTCTTGTTTTTAATATTATGCGTTTATTGATGATTTTTTTGGTTGATTTCTTCTAATAGGTATGACATAGTGTAAGCATTAATTCACCTCTTATGTCGATGTTGAATTTCATGAACAGTCGAGGTATTAGATGGTTAGATGAAGAAAGTATTGATTCTTTTTTTGTGAGAAAAAGTTGATGTTGTCCTTAAGAACATGTTTGGGCAAATCCGAAATGGAACATTTTTGTGTGTGGGGGACCTGATGGTATGCTTATAGGACTGTTGACAACTCAAAAGCTATACCTCCATTTTGTCAGTTTTCCTTTTCTTTCTTATTTTTTTTTCCTTTTCCTTCTATTTCCCAACTAATTCTCACCCTAACAGATTGTCAAAACTTTGTTCAAACACACTTGGCTTCAACATCATGAGAAGAAGCCCACCAAAGGCTGCACCAATACAGCCATTGTTGTTATTTAAGGACATTCTAACCCTGCAAACAAACTGACTCCTCTGTTTTTTTTTTCCATGCCTAAAAAGAAAAAACAAGTATGAAAAAAAAAGAGAGAAATAGAGAGTTCTCATGCACAGTTGAGATATGTTTGTAATTTGTATTTCCATTTTGTGTTTCTTAAGAAGATTTGTTTGCATTCTCAACAAAGTTCTCGTGGGTTATTTCTTTGGTTCAAATCGTATTTTGGTTGGTTGGTTGTGTTTTAGTTTTAGAGCTTCGATATGTATATTGTCCCCGCTCTCAATAGTTACATACGGGTATATATATAGCATAAGAAAAGCAGGATGCCCATGACGCGTACGTGTGAGATGAACCAAATTCTCATTGAATTTTATATTTCCATAAGAAGGAACTCGAATATGATATGCAGTACTCCTGTGAATATTCTCTGCAGTGAAATTATAGGTCTCGTTTGATAACCATTTTTGAAATTAAGCTTGTAAATACTAATTTTTCATCTACGTATTTTTTTTACCAACTCTTTAGAATCGTTTCAAAATCTAGACAAAATTTTAAAAACCTAAAAAGTATGTTTTAAAAATTTATTTTTGGTTTTGAAGTTTGGCTAAGAGTTCAAATGTGTTTTTAAGAGAAGTGAAAAGGTTGGAAGCAGAGAGAGCAAACAAGCATAATTTTCATAAATATAAAATTAAAAATGAAATGGTTATCAAATGGAATCTTACCGTAAAACTTTTATCGTTCATTTAATGACCTAATGGAAATTTGATGTGGCTTTAAAATATGGACAAAATGTTTGAATTTAGCTCGAAAAAAGAAAATAATTAAAACTTTTTAAAGTGAAAAGAAATAAATAGATATATAATATTGAGTAAATAGGGATTGAATTTAGAATTTAAGAAAATAAATTGAAAATAGTTTTGACTTGAGAAAGAACATTCAAAGGTATAAAGGTGGAAGCACGTGGGCACATGTGAAGCAGCAGAAATGGAGAAATCAATGAAAGAAAGCTGAAAGGGCCCACCTCTCCCAAGTTTATCTTAGCACAGCAATACCACTAAAAGTATGTCAAATTCTAGCATTTAAAAATATATATAAATGCTTATTTTACAAATTTTGTCAAGTTCGGATTCAATTTGGTCCTTGTAATTTTGAAAATTTCAATTTAATTTGTATGATTTTAAGTTTGTTGTAATTTTATCACCCAAATTGCGGAATGCCAATCTATTTCCTTATGTTTCTATTCAACTATAAACATTAAATTCAATCACTTGCCAGAGTTAGTAAAATAGAAAATATCAACTCAGTGTCAGGTAAGAAAATGTACCAATATAGCAAAGGTAGGAACATATTGTGAAGTTTGACTGAATCATAGGAACCAAACTG